GACGGAGCCCGCAGACTTTCACCGAAAATCAGCGGCTGCAGATCAGGCGGCTGATTTGAGAGCATCTGGTTGACGTTCAGGTAGACAGGTTTCGGCGTAACATCACTGATATATTGTGAATTTCGGTTCCAAATATTCAACGCTCCAGATTATGGAAATGCTTGCATGGTATTGACTCAGCAGCATTAGATATATATTTCTCCGTTCATTCAATGAAACAAACAGTCTCTGGTCAACGACGCAAACCGAGGGGCGACAATGATATGTGCCCCGTGTGCGCATGTCAGTCCCCTATCGAGCGGCTCGGGAAAGGCAGCTCGCCCCTGTCCTTGGTCACCGGACCAAGCGGGAAAATTCCTCCACCGCAACCCACGGCCGATGTCGGATGGCCGCGAGCTCCGTTATGTGAGGGCCAGAGCCATTGGTGATCGGACAGATCCCCGGTGCACCGTGCTGGCGATGCGACATTGCCCGGTGCACCGCGCTGTCGCAGTGCGACATATGACAGCAACTGGCCGTGGCGCCCCTCTGAGCGAGTCTGTGGCCCCGAACGGTGTCGGTCTCGGGTATCGCTGGTGGAACTGGGCTACCGCGGTCAAGGTGGACGGTGGCCGCTCTGTTTTTGTTGCAACTGACTGTTGCAATATGGCGACTTATGAGACCTGCTTGGCTAATGAGATTGCATTACCGTGGCCTGTCTCCACACGGTCAGTTTTGTAATCTGTCACGCTAAGCGGTCGGTTAGGAAGAGTGGTGTGTGGACTCCACTCCGATCCCATGAGTACGGGATCTGATCCTCTGACCCATGAAGTTCAACAGGATTAAATGTGGAGTAACTGAAAGTCGGCAGACGTGATGTCCGGCAGTATTATCAGTCAGGCGCAGATCAAGAGCAGTTACCGCTTTGCTTCCTTGTTTTTGCGAAACAATGAGCTGCTTGCGCAGTGATAATTCTGTATATACGTTGCAGCTGCTGCCAAAGCTTGAAACTTTTCAAAACAAAAAAGGTATACTACGTAAGTATATAGGAAACCGGTATTGCGACAAATATCATTTTCTTGCTCCTATTTAGTCCCAAAAATGTGTATTGTGTCCAGCGGCCAGCAATTTTGCCCAAACCTCCACACCACCACTTCGCCATTCTCTCGTCCCAAGTGTGAGCACTCTCACCCTAGGTGTGAGTGTGCTGCAACCGCGACCACCGGCGCGGAAACCGCGACCATCGCCGCAGCTCAACACACGGCGGTGACGAAAAACCCGACCCTCTGGACGCATTGTCCGCAGCCCAAAAACGCTCGGATTACCACAGTGGTTCTGCTTAGGTACTGCTGTGACCGAGGCTATCACAAGGGTGACGAACTTCGCCCACCTAACGATGCGCATATGCATAAAGAGTATGTTTCTTAACCTTCGCCCCAGTGGGGGGGGGGGCATATGTTACCACCCTGTCGCGTTTTTTCGTATAAATAAAAAACCGCGGCGCGTAGCGCCGCGCCGCTTGGGATAGCTTTTGGTATATCAATTTTGGACAATGTGTGAAATTTTTGACCCCAGGTCATATCAGGTCAGATCACCAGGTCAAGTTAACTGACCAAGCCTAAAAAGAAGTTTGCAATCATGTCCAGCCTGCAGTGTTTGTCAGAGAAGTTTTAAACTTGGTGGATTACATAATGTTATGGGTGCCTACAATTTGTATATCTCGGATTTTTTATATGCGTGACCTAAGGTCAGGTCGGTGGCGTGACCTTTCCATTATAAGTCAATGGAGAAAAACGAAAATGCCTCTAGATCCGTGTGTACGCATAGGAACAGTTCAAATATTTCAGGATAACAATGATTTGGACCATCCGTGACGACCAAGGTGTCTTTTTTGCTGATAGCCTCTTGAAAGGTCATCCGAGGTCATTTGAGGCTACAAACAGTTTTTTTGCCAATAACTCTCGATTGGAAAAAGATAGAACGCTGGGGTTGGCCTCATTGTGTTTGTCATGCCGAGACGCATCGACTGATATGCAACATGACCTTTTCCGGTCAGGTCATGACTTTGACCTGAGGTCAAATTTTGAAGTTGACCTTTCAGGGTCAAATTATAGTTCATTCGACGCGTCTCGGCGAGAGGAACACGATTCTGGCATTAGAATGACCTAGCTTTTTTTAGTCAAAAGTTATTGCCGAAAAACACTTTTCTTAAAAACAGCTATTTTTGGAGTTTTTGCCCTCTGGAGGCTAAACCGTTGACCTGTCATTTTTTATGATGACCTTATCAAAAGAAGAGTTCAAAAGCTATCGATTGCTTTTCCCAGCGTTTTTCTAGCTATCATAGTTTCTGAGATAATGTCATGTTTTCTGAAAAATATAATGACAATTCGCAAATTTTGACCTTTGATGACCTCTGGTGACCCCAATATTGCTCTAAGATGAAAAATGACCGAAATACTTTCAAACGCACGCATCAAGAGCTATCGACTGCTTTTTACCGCGTCTTTCTAGCCCTCTTAGTTTTTTAGTTAGAGGTGGGTGGTAACATATGCCCCCCCCCCCCCACTAGGGCGAAGTTGGCGGAGACCGCCACTGGGGCGCGGGTTAATTAACCTTCGCCCCAGTGGGGGGGGGGGGGCATATGTTACCAACCTGTCGCGTTTTTTGCGTGTAAATAAAAAACCGCGGCGCGTAGCGCCGCGCCACTTGGGGTAGCTTTTGGTACATCAATTTTGGACAATGTGTGAAATTTTTGACCCCAGGTCATGTCAGGTCAGGTCACCAGGTCAAGTTAACTGACCAAGCCTAAAATGAAGTTTGCAATCATGTCCAGCCTGCAGTGTTTGTCAGAAAGGTTTTAAACTTGGTGGATTGCATGCTGTTATGGGCGCCTACAATTTGTATATCTCGGATTTTTTATATCCGTGACCTAAGGTCAGGTCAGTGGCGTGACCTTTCCATTACAAGTCAATGGAGAAAAATGAAAATGCCTCTAAATCCGTGTGTACGCATCGGAACAGTCCAAATATTTCAGAATCACAATGGTTTAGTCCACTCGTGATGACCAAGGTGTCATTTTTGCTGATAGCCTCTAGACAGGTCATCCGAGGTCACTTGAGGCTACAAACAGTTTTTTGCCAATAACTCGCGATTGGAAAGAGATAGAACGCTGGGCATGGTCTCATTGTGTTTGTCTTGTTGAGACGCATCGACTGATATGCAACATGACCTTTTCCGGTAAGGTCATGACCTTGACCTGAGGTCAAATTTTCAAGTTGACCTTTCAAGGTCAAATTATAGTTCATTCGACGCGTCTCGGCGAGGGGAACACGATTCTGGCAATAGAAATGTCGTGGCTTTTTGTAGTCGAAAGTTATTGCCGAAAAACACTTTTCGAAAAAACAGCTATTTTTGGAGTTTTTGCCCTCTGCAGGCTAAACCGTTGACCTGAGGTCAATATTGATAATGACCGTTTCGAAAGAAGAGTTCAAAAGCTATCGTTTGCTCTTCCATACGTTTTTCTAGCTACCATAGTTCCTGAGATAGCGGCATGTTTTCTGAAAAATATAATGACAATTGGCAAATTTTGACCTTTGATGACCTCTGGTGACCCCAATATTGCTCTTAGGTGAAAAATGATCGAAATACTTTCAAACGTACGCATTGAGAGCTATCGACTGCTTTTTACCGCGTCTTCCTAGCCCTCTTTGTTTTTGAGTTAGAGGTGGGTGGTAACATATGCCCCCCCTCACTAGGGCGAAGTTGGCTGAGACCGCCACTGGGGCGCGGGTTAAGAGCTTTACGAGTTAAAACGGCCTTCAGACTGTTACCAAAACATTTTTAAGAAGCATTCTTCCTGTGAGACCACTGTGATAACACTGCCACTTAACTCCACGCTTCTGGCAGTGAGAAGAAGGGTTTTTGTGTGCGGCTTTTAGGGTGCGTTCGTCTGGAACGTGGCAACACAGAGGCGCGATGCGTTCGGCACGCGACACGAGGACGCGTCCTTGACCCAGCGATCATCCGTAAACATTGACGGCTTTGACGGACCGTCACCCGAAACCGACACAATGAAAGGCCGCCACAGTTCGTGGATGACGCCCGAATTATGGAACAGACGCACATGACGTTCCATGGATTATAAATTGAATTTATATTTTCAAAGGTATGCGCTGAAGGTTAGCAGAGCTGTTGAGAAGAAATACATAAAATTTAGCATACCGAAGACTATTTGACTTGTCAATGCCACGGTCACGGTGCGAAATTGGATGCATTGTCAAATGAGAATAATTAGAATTTTGTCATTTATTTGTCATTTGTCATAACATTTGGTTAAAATGTCATGAACTCATATACGAGACATAAGCATTGTAAGTAAGGTAATGCCCGACTGTTGCTATGACCGACTGGCTTGTGAGTTGTGACACATCTCGCTAAGGCTGATCTAAACATCAGTTGCTTAGACCACCACCATTGCTACATCGAGATAAATCAGTAAAGTAGCCTTAGCGCCACGGCACTAAACGTCAACATTATGGGATTTACCTTGATCCATGAAGTTGCACCACAGGCGACATGAACCTACAAACCTCTCACGATTGTAGTAAAGACGTCATCATGCGTTGCATGACTACTGATTTCTTACACTTCTCATGGCATTATGGGATCCCTTTTCACTTCGGAAAATTTGAGCACAGCATAATGTCCACTCAAAATAAAGTCCTCACTCAACCCCGCTGACCCTGCTGTGTTGTTACAACGATCGCTGGTCCGATGACCTAACCTGACCTGACCTGCCCCCTCTCGGTGACCTGAACTGTGCTCCTTACTGACCCGGTGTGCCCCCGGTGTGCCTCCAGGATGACCGCTGGCCCGGTGACCTGACCCGCCCCCTGTCGCCCGCCCCTGCTGACCCGGGGTGCCCTGTTGTGCCCCCAGGATGACGGCTGGCCCGGTGACCTGACCTGACCCGCCCCTCTCGCCCGCCCCTACTGACCCAGTGACCCCCGCTGTGCCCCCAGGATGACCGCTGGCCCGGTGACCTGACCTGACCGACCCGCCCCGGTCCGCCGCCGTCCGGTCATGATGCTAATGGACGGCGGCCAGCCGCGCCGCGGCGGCCCCCGCCTCTACCAGTACCTGCCTGCCGAGGGGGCCGTGTACGCGGTGCCGAGCATCGCGCCCCACCCGGCTCACCACCTGGCGCCGCCCCTGCTGCCGCCCAAGGTGAGATACCTGAAACCGCCACTGCTGTCCTCCAGGAAAGGTGTGCCTGGATCTGCCACCGGTCACCCGGAGTGAGGAAGAACACGCTGCCTTTGTTATAGATGTCCTTTAGCAGAAACTTAGCTTTATAAAAATTTGCCAATTCGTGAGGGCTGCCTGAATTACAAATCCTGTGACTGATGTAAGCATCAAAGGACAAGTGATCGGAAGGGATTATCCGATACATCCCACCCGTCTCTTCTGTCAAAATGTCGCTCAACCCACATTTTTAGCCTGAGTGTTTGAGCCTAATGGGAGCTTGGACCGTAAAATATTTCAAGATTACATGCTCTGTCGGTTGACAGACTAGCAAAAGGCACGACCGCCACCACCCACCTCCGTGTATCCTCCACCCTGTTCAAATTACCAAACGGCACCTCTCTTTGTGAGCTGCTCTCTTCTCTCCGGACGTGGGGTCACGCCTTCATGCCCCAGCCGCACCCCTGAGGACATGCCTGGAGCCGCCTCTGGCCTGCCAAGGTGAGCCCAGCACGGTTCGGTAAGGAGGCATTCATCCGATGGAGGTCATACAGGAGCACAGCAGAGTCGCAAGTCACACCGGTGAGGCCAGCCGCCAGTGACAGATCCGGAACACCAGAGGTGTGCTCCGTGTCGGCTTCATGGGCCGTGGAACGATGTGGGTTCACGATCAGTGAACCAGATAGAAGTTCATGACTCGTGGAATCCTGTGGCCTCTGTTTCGGCTCCGTGACGCTATCACTGTCGATGCATAACCAAACATGGCACTTACACCCGGTAGTTCATAACAACTAAAATTATTTCAGCAGCAGTCTAGGCGTCAGCTCATGCTCGAACAGGTCATTCGGTTCCACGTTTGGTGTCAAGCACACACCCAAAGCGGGCAGGTCCGCCAATATTCGCGCTGCTTTCTAGCACGCTGCGCCGCCAACCTCATTCAGGCTGTTTGTTCTGCGCGGACAAGGAGCGCCGTTTGCCCGGCCGCCTCGGCTGGCTCTGTGAGCACTGAGCTCCCATGGCCTGAGGCGGCGGCGCTCTCCAGTTCGGTAATGTTCGGCTCTCGTGATGACCGGCCGCCGTTTGGGCCACCGCCCGCGGCGGGGGCATCCATCGCTGGCCAGGTGCTGGGGTGGGGGAGACGGGATGCCAGAGCAGTGAGCACCACCTGCTGCTGCCTTAGGACTGAAACAGACTCTTTCCGCAGTCAGGAAATCGCATGCGAGAGCCTATTCAAATACATGGAAGCACGCTCGCATCAATCGCACGCACCTCCCGGATGCGATTGATGCGGAAGAATTATAATGTATTTGAATAGGCTCTCGCATGCGATTTCCTGAACGCGGAAAGAGTCTGTTTCAGCCTTTATAGTGGACGGTATGGTGGTGGCCTGTGTCTGGTAGACTGACGTGTGCCGGAGGCATGGTAGACGACTGCTGAGGTGTAGATGTTGGTGCTGGGTCTAATGAAATTCACATCCGGTCATGTTATATCTCAATGAGAAATTTCACTGTTGAAATTTGATAAACAAGACATGAATCTGTGTTAAATTCGATCCGGTTCGATTTTTCACACTTTTCAGAACTAATTTCGATGATTGATCTTCCGAAGACGCATTTCCTTCCAGCTGTTTTCGCTTTCTACGAACGATCTTCTGATAAAATCGTCGAATCTGTGAAGCTTCACTTCAGCCCGTCCTCAAGCTTCGGGCTGAAGCTGAAGCTTGAAGAGGCGTCCAGCCTCTCCTCGTCGCTCATTGCTGGGCGTCGCCACCTTTCGCGAGCTCAGCACAGTCCCTAACCCTCCCGGCGACCCTCCCGAGTCCCGACCTCAGGCGCACCCGCCTCCACCCACCCCATCAGCGGATGAATCTCCGAGGTGCAGGCACACCCGCGCTGACACCCATCGCTCAGCAACCACTGCTGCACGGCGCACCCACACGCCGGGTTAGGGTCCGGTGCTTGCAAAGGGTGCTGCCCGGCCTGGCACGTCCCTCAGTATCTCATTCCACCTCTTTTCACGTCACTCTCACCTCATCTCAAACAGACACAGTTGGAGCACAACCCTTGTATGTAGGCCTGAGCCATTTCAGGGACCAGTGAAGCCTACGACATTGTGATGACTGTTGAGCAATGGGTACTCAGCCAGAAGTATACATTTTCATTGTTCACATGTCCTGCGTTCTCACGTACACCTAACCCGTGCATATTACCCACACACTGGTCAGCTGTCTCTCACACAACTCATGTGACCAGCGTGTGAAGACGCATGCCTGACCGAGTGAAGTCGCCACGTACCAGTTGGTGGTTCCCATACCTCCACCACAGTCTGAAGGGGTTAGCCTCGTTCGATGTGTGGGCCGTCATAAGTGCTGTTTTTCGTTCACCTGCTAAAATGGAACGTCTGGCGACACTTGCGGGGTGATAAGTGATAAGACAGAGTCTCGAGACTGACGTCTACAAGTGGCTACGAGCGTTTTTAGCCAGGCGACAGTCACAATACAAGACACAAGAAGACCTTGGGCTGCTCTTTTCTCTGGGCGGCGCTGAAAAGCTGTCCAGGAGAGTGTAGCTAAACAGCATTTACTCCAGGCGAGTTTGTTGTAACGTGTCAAACGAAGGAAGAAAACGTAAAACGACACCGCTTCCATGGGCGGGGGCTGTCTCGACTAGCGACAGCGGTCCGTCGACCGCTGGCCGGCAGTGTGGGTTTTGCGGCTGTCCCGACGGGCTGGCTGGGACTGTGCGCCGGGCACAGCGATAGCTGACCTCTGACCAGTCTCGGCGGGCGGCGAGGGCGGCGCCCACGAGGCGAAACTGGCGCTCGCCCGCGCCGCAGCTTTCCCGACCAGCGCCGAGACCCAGGTCTCACTTTCAGACGCGTCGGCTCCGAGCCGCGAGCCCCGGCTGAGCGTGATTATATTTGCGCGAGGAGAATGTCAGGGAGACGTAGTCTGAAGGGAGACAGCTTTCTCACCCGTCAACTAAGTTTCTAGCTACTTCTCCATCAGTCAAACAGACATAAGAAACGACTGGTGTCACCTTTTGGTGATCAGCCCGCCCGAGCTGGTGACTCCTGCGGCGCATTGGCGTGGAAGGTCAAACGCGACGGTTCTCCTCCACCAGATGACATTCTCGCGTGAGAATATCTGTAATGATGCCGTTCTCTCGGTTCGGCGATACCGGCACTCCCCTCACGAGACGTCACAAGGTCGTCTCTGAGGCAGTACCACCCGGAACCCCACAGGGGGAGGTGCGCCAGCGATCACTACCCCTGCGCCGAACTCATCGCGGCCGATAAATATACTGTATTCAGGGAGTTAATATTCCCCAGGCCATAACAGGTAGTAAGTGAGGCTCGGAGGTCTGTATAATGAGATAGACGCACCTGATCAAATACAGCATGTTGGAGTATTCCCCGTTGGTATCAAATCCACGTGTTAACTCATGCTCTTGTTCATTGCTCCTGTTCTTTGTTTACGAATAAGGGACTGCAGACTGAATAATAATTGTACATTATCATAAAGGTATGTACATATTGGTCTTTTAAACATAAGGTCATCTGTAGCCGTTCCTTTTATGTATCGTCGTTATTATATAAAACCTGACAAAATTGTATGATAAGGTATGTATCAGTTGTTGTTTGTTGTAAGCTTTATTTTTCGCAATTGATTTATTATCTCGCCTAAGCTCCGGGCATTGTCCGATCCCAGTTAAATACATGCATCAGGCATTATGACGGAAGCCTGAATTCCGTTATACCGGAGAGCTACACCAAATTGAAAATTAGCCCATCAATAATTATCATTTTCTATCCCAAGTGGTCAGATAGCCACCAAATACATCATTTCTGTAATTGTCTGAATGCGCACATTTTAGTGTGCCGTCCCTTGAGGACCCGTACTGAAATAATTTGTCTTCTAGGATGCCTACGGTAGGGTCATACATCATATCTCCCGGGTGCTCAGTTCATATAAGGCCCCAGGACGTAGAGACTTGTCGATGGCTTCGTGGGAAGTGTAACGTGCTTTGCAGGTAGACAAAACGTGTTTGCATGTTTCGTATAATTCATTGAGTAGAACGCACTAAACGTAGCCGAACAATGAAAAGAAGTTCAAGATAAAGCAACTGTAATTATCTATACCTACCCACCTGAAAGTGTTCCAAAGCTACAAAGTGATGGGCATTGTGCATTTCTTCTTCACTTATAGACACCGAAGAGCCAACCATTGTTGTCTGCTGAGTGCTGCCAGGATGCTAATTGCATTGACAAATTACCCCGAAGTGTCAGTGATCAAATTACCTCACTGATGCATGAGAATTTCAGTCTCTTTACACGATCGTCCGTAGAAGCGATTTTAAACGGTCCCACAGATAAGTCTTTGATATTCTTCAGAACAAACCACCAAGGAAGTGATGAAAGTTTTCATTTTCTTTGCAATCAGAAACCCAATCAACGATATCTCTTTTTATCGATGTTTTAAGTTCGTCCAGAGTTTGATCGTGGTCGTTTTCTCCACAACACACAGCCAAAAGTCAGCGGGAAGGGCTGTCAAAGCCAGCCGTCTCATTCGAAGCTTCCCCTGAGAACCTATCAAAAAAGGCCACCAGCGGCGCCTGACCGCGCCGACCGTCGCCACAGTTGCGCCACCAGACGCCGCCGAGTCGTTGAACCGAGGCGGCGCGCTGCGGCGTAGAGTGGCTCATGGTCACGCACACTGCGGCCAAATCGGCTCACAAAGCCCGATCGGCGACGGTGCGACGAATGTGGCGCGGTCGCGGCGGTCGCATGACGCTGTGAGACGATAGCGGTTCACCGGAACGACGACACGGCTTGAGGAGCGGCCGTGTACTGGACATAATTTGCCAGACTGCCGATAGCCGACAGAGTTTGACAGACCAATGCGAACCCGATGTCGTTTGACAAACGTAGATTCAAATTTCAACATGGTTCGTTTGACGTGCGTCCAGCATACTTCGACGGAACAATTTCGAACCAGGCCCGACACAGTTACGCGAACATGCATCAAACCAAAGATGTCGATGTAATCCCACCAGCGGTTCTTATCACACAATGTGCATCTTTTCCACCTGTGCAGCGCCTTGTCGGTGGTGCGTACCATCAGACGCAACACCGTGCGGAACCGGCGGCCCCACGCGCTGCCCACCGACGCGGTACGGCGCGGGCATCGCTCGTGCCGGCCCGGGCCGCGCTGCCGCGCCGGGCGGTCGGGCCGGTCCAGCGGGCAGCCACCGGCGACCTACATCCCACCGTCTGACCCACACCGGAGAAACGCCGGCCGGTTTCCTCCCAGAAATGGGCTGAGCTGTCGCACCGCGTGGCGCACACGCGGCACACAGTGCGCACACACACAGAGACAGACACGGGCGGAAAGCGAGGCAGGGTATCGTTACATCCGCCGTGCCGTCATTAAAGACCGGCGGTGTGACAGCTGCCTCTGATGTTTCCTGCTCGTGCGTGCCGTGTAATCGTGAGCAGGGAAATGACCTGAAAGCACGGGCAATAACGAAATGGTGTTCATGTCGTTCCCGCGAAGCTCAAGTGCTTGAGTAAGTGGCAGCAATAGGTGGGTTGCCACGGGCTCATGTGAACAGTAAATAGTAATCACACGAGTGGTGACTATTCGCTGTTGCTTGAAATAGTCTTGCCGTAATCCGGGGCGTGGGTAGTTACCGAATCAAACAATGCTGGCAACATGATTCCAGAATCCAGGCTTCCCTGCTCTTGCAATTTCAAACCTCCTGATATATTTTCATAAATAAGAACGCATCCCGAAGTGGTATTCACGTAACAGTATTCACATAATTGCTGTTTATAAAGCCAGCCAGCGCATTACATGAGATGTCTCTGGTCAAATAAATCGAGCCCTGCGCTAAACGTTTTGCGTTATCATAACACTCCGTTTCTTGGTCTGCCCGCAGGAGAAGAAGAAATCGCTCTCCGACTGGCTAAAGTTCGGCAAGAAGAGTCGGTCGGATGACCGCCAGCTGCGCGAGCTGGTCCGCTCGCCGCCGGTCTCCGAGTACCAGGAGCCGACACCGGCCACCGCCTCGGCGCTGGCCCGCTCGATGCGTTACGCCGAGGCGTGGCTGGCCGACCAGCCGCGACGGCCTCCCTCCCAGTTCGCTGCGCCCGTGGCCAGGCCTTACGGCACGGTGGCGGCCCGGATGCCGCCGCGTCGACCCACGGCACGAGCCGCCTTCGACGCACCTCCGCCGCCCGGGGCGTTGGTTTACCCATGGGAGACATACGCTCCGGCCGAGTACGCCGTGCCCGTGGTGGCCACGCCGGTCGATGACCCTCCTCCTCTGCCACCCGGCGTGTGCAACTGCAAAAAGTCGCTCATGGAGAGCGTCCGCGGTAGGAAGAAGACGTCGTGTAAGCGCTGTGGCGCCGAGAAGCTGACGGTGCGCCAGGTAAAGGCTCGCTCACGAGCTGCCGCCTCACCGTCGCAGTATCAGGACCCGTACGTGGCCGTGCGGAGGTCCAGACTGGGAGCGTCTGACGGCGATCTCTACGAACGGCCCCGCTCGCAGAGCCACGAGCGTCCCCCGGCGCCTTCTCCCGGCGAGTACGCCATTCCGCGTGTGGACGGCCGACTCCGTGCCGGCTACACGAGAGCTGTGGACGCCGGCTGGCCGCAGCCGGTTGGGTACGCGCCGGGAGCGGTGGCCTACCAGGCCTCGTGGGCGGCGCCGCCGATGCCGCCCAGCGAGAGCCTCGACAACAACTACCTGGCCCGGGAGAGCTCGGCGCATACGGCGCAGAAGAGACGAGCCCTGCTGCAGGTGCCCTGTCCGGCGCCGCCTCCGCCGCCTTCCAAGGCACAGGTGCCGCAGACACTCACCACCTTCCTCCCCGAGCCGCCGCGGCCGAAGGAGAAGCAGAAGGAGACGAAGAGCAAGGAGAAGGAGTCGGAGAGCGGCGGCGTGTCGCCCGACTCTGGTTCTTCGTCTCTCTCGGAGGATGAGTGGAGCGCAGAGGAGTCCACCACGCCGCCCAAGCGGGAGACGAAGTCGAAGGATGATGACTTCAGACTGGGTCCCAGTGCGCGGGGAACGAGCGCGCTGAGGCTGTCTCCAGCCGGCGTCGAGCCGATCCGATTCCCACAGACGGTCGGAGGCTCCAGGCTCGCCAAACTCTCCCTGGCTGGATCGTCCAGTGTGAGGATCACTCAGAGGGAGCGGAAAATGGCGACTGCGCCTCTGCCTCCGGCCGAAGTCCCACCGCTACCAACCGAGCCGCCGCCACCGCCACCACCTTCTCAACCACCACCCCCGCCCTCTCAGCCACCACCAAAACAGTCGATACCGGCCGCTCCGCCGCCGCCACCTGCACCGTCCGTTCCCGCTCCGACCTCGACAATACCACCTCCTCCTCCTCCCCCACCGCCTCCACCCCCGCCGCCACAGACAGGCGGCATCCAGCCTCTGAAGCCACCGAGAAGGAAGAAGGCCGCTGCAGAGGAGCAGACGGAAACGGAGCCGGACGCGGAGCCAGGGACGGCGACGGCAAAGAAGCTGGAGGTCCAGCAAGGAGCGCCGCAGCCCATAATCTCCATGAGCGATATTCTTCAGGTGAGAAGCAGAATGATAACTCACAGGTCACCAGTAAAAATGAGTATCACAGGACTAAAGTAAAGGGTAGATTTTCCGCCGATAAAATTCGGCTAAGATTCCTGACATTATGGTTTGCAAGGAATGTTTTAACTCAGGGTTGGATCTAAAGGTAGGTACCTAATAGTGCGTGCCAGTGTAGACACTGTTAAAGTCAGATAGCTTCTGGATTCATTAAAGATGCACGTTCCTCACTAAGCCGTCTGTTTATCCAGGTGAAGTCCATCTTGAAGAAGACGCCGGCGGCCGACTCTTCCTCCGGCACTTCGGGCACCGACACCGGCTCCGAATGTGGCGCGGTGGTGCCTACTCTGGCGCAGCTGAAGCAGCAGCGCCAGAAACGTGTCCACTTCCGCTCACACGACAGCCTCTCCGGCGACAAGAAAGGATCCTCCGGCGATAAAAAGGCGTCTGACAAGATCGAGGACCCAGACGACAAGCAGCACGATATCGTCGCCGCCATCACCGACGCCTACGATCGTGTAAACCGGACTCAGCACGACGCTGATGGTGAAATGACGTCATCAAAGGAGGAGCGGACAAAGGATGCGACCGCGAGCGGACCGGAGGGTGACGTCAAAATGACGTCATCTGGAGCCGGCGCCGGCGAGGTGACCGTGAGCGGCTCCACGGTAGCCATCGAGATCGGCGAGAATGGCCAGTGGCGAACAACAAACGTCAGCATCGCGACAGGTGAGTCCATTTGGGGGAGAAAGGGGAGGGGGTTTATCGCTGCGGGATGAGACGCTCTGTTCAACTGTCGTTCCATCTGCATTATCCGTGGTCACCGCTGTCATCAGAGACATACGAGCGGTGAAAGGTTTGAGCAGGGTTCGCGGCCGATTAGCAGCAGCACCGCACCGGCAGTCAAGGTCCGCATTGCGGTTTTCAATCCAAAAGAGGATCCGTCCGTTAGTGCGACTTCGATAGCAGCTTGTTCACAGGAGCTTATTGATCATATCTGACTGAGTTTAAAACTCAAATGTTTTATCTAAAATTGCTACTGCACAGATCCCATGCTTATTGGCAATAACGCATTTTGAATGGATGTTGACGGCTAGTCTTTCCAAGGCTTGACCAGATAAGTAGTTAGCGAGGAAAATCTAAGCGTCTAATTGTAACGCGGCCTTATAATCCAAGTTTTAAAGTGAAGTCAATTGTTCTTTCAAATGGAATAAATATGGACTACGGAATGGTAGCGTCCTTCCGAATACAAGGACTATGGAAGCGCTAGTGAAATGCAAGCACAAGCACAATGGCATAATAGGTATATACCTACCTATCAACTACATTTGTCACAGCACGGTTTGCTTGCAGAAGCCTTGGCCCATATTGCGTATCCGGCTTACACTTATCTTCTGTTCAATAAATCAGAAGGGATGATCTCTATGAATAATGCATTCATAATGTCTTCTGAGCTCTGTTGATGGTCATAATCACATACTTAGCACGAGCTGCCCATCACACACAAAAGTGAAACATCCAACAAAACAGCGTAATAGCGCATTTTAGTGGAAAATTGTTCCTATTCCCGTCAATAACCGCTGGTAAAAGCACTCATCCGGTCTTTAACAGCGGGTCTATGTTACATCCTCCGCCGAGCCGCGGAAGAGGCTTTCTCGCCCCCGCCGATGAGTCTGGTCTCGTCTCGGTCGTTATTCTTCCGGCCGCTGAGCGGATGACCTCTGACTTTCATTCTCTCCACCAATATTCGCGACAGTGAAGCCGGCCCGTCGAGGCATGGCGGCATTAGCGGCACAACCCGGTCAGCCGCGCCGGAATTGTCTCATGTCTGACTACCGTGGGAGCCGCCGGTGAATCACCGTGAGAAATCCCGAGAGACAGAATCCGACTCGGACTGTCGATCGTACCATAATGCGCTTCAGCTGTTGTGTCCGGTAGCTACCGACGTGCCCGTGGCCATACCAGAGGCAGCCGTGATGTCTGTGTCGGCTTTCCCCGATAGCCATTTAGTGGGGTCGGCTTAGACCGGGCCACCGGAACTGGAACGTCTTGGCTAGTTTTGTATTCGTGAGGCTGGAATCGGACCCGTCGATGGCTCGAAGCAGGCGAAAATGAGGGCAAATTGGCTGCATTGTCCGAGGGTGGAGCCAATCTTCGTATAATATCGTGTCAAATGGCGAGTGTCTTTGAGTCATTTCCGACATAGTAAACGGCATTTCCGTCGGCTTTCATTTAAACTCAATTTTGTTTGGCGGTTAACTGCCAGATTGCCTTTGTTTCCGACGGCCGAAATAATGTTCTTTGTCTTTTAAATGTGATGGAGCGCTGATTCCGGCAGGCATGGAACTGACTGTGATTTACAGCCGACGATAAATCGATTCCGGACAAGGTGTTAGAGTGGTGGTTTTGTGGTGACTGGTGGCATTATAGCAACAACAAACAAACTATGCTACGTACATAATACATATGCCATCTGGTCTGATCCGACAGCCTCTCTACTTCATCCATTAGACCAACTTTCTGTAAACAAGTAGCATTCATCAACGCACAGTCTGTGCAGCATAAGTTACAGGTCTCGCCTCTTTCAAGGAGCTCTCGTTCTCATATTCCCTCACAGCCCGGTACCCCCCCCCCCCCCCGCCGCCACTGATATGCCCCGCGGACCGGTCTACCGTGGGTGTGGTCCCGAGCTCGGCGTAAACACGTCAGGGCGCTCAGCAGTGGAGAAAGGCGTCAGCCGACCCTGCACTGACCTCGGAGTATCTACCTGGCACCTGCCTCGCCCCCGTCGGATCAATCCCCCCCCCCCCCCGGGCGGGCGACCTTGGGGACGGGGAGGGGCTGGGGCTGCCCGCTCGCTCCTGCAATGGCGGTGTTTAGTAGGGGTAAGATAGACGTGCAATGGACAATGGATAAGATAGTGGGAGCCGGAGAAGAAAGGGGAAAAGATGTTGGCGTACGTGAGGAAGACGTTGATAACGACATTAGTGGTTTACAGCAGAGTGGAACAGAAAAAGTGGGGTTTTAAAGTGATTTAGACTATATGCACTTCCAAAAGATAAAAGCTCGAGGATAAGTTTGTAAACTAAAGAAATATAAAACTGGGTGCATAGGTGCTCAACGTCGTCAAAAATCATCGAAGCTCAACAATCTAAGAGCAAGGTGTAGCGCCTCAACTCATTTGTTTTTTGGGCGTTGTCGAGCTTTGAAGGCTAGAAGGCTAGAGCTGTGTGATCACGACCAAGCATCATTACCATGACCAAGCATGATAGATTTAGATACGTGTTTTATAACCATAAGGTATTCGCCCCGTTTGTTGGGGACAGTGCAATTACAGACCATTATCAATGTTTGTTTAGGTGCACCTCGCCTCTAATCCGGTACACTCGATACAGTCATCCTCCCTTCTGCCTTTGTGTTTCATTTCTCCAGCTGTCACCAACGACTATCATCCACACTCACGACGCACTGTGTGCTGACATCCATGGCTAATTTTATCGATTCTGGAGAGTCAAACTACGAATTATTCAGACGCATCTCTCCGCGTGAAATTGTTAATGCCAGCCAACGGCGTGAGATGCGCCCTTGTCTAAGCCACCGAGCATGTCACTCTTCGGCACTCCCAGACAGGGGAATGATGGCAAGAAACGTGACGGTACTCCTGTCTCTGACTGTCCATTGGCAACCACGCTTCTCAACGTGAGGGAGGGGAGCTAGTCGCTGCAGTTTGCGACTGGTCGTGCCACGGGTTATCAGTGGGAATCGCGACTCCAAAGGTGGCGCAGATCTCATAGGAGTGGTGTGGCAATCGCCCCACCCTGACGGGGTCAAAGGTCAGATGAAACGTGGTCCGACCAGCCAGGAGAGAGGGGATACAGAGAGCGAAGGAGCTGGGAGGGAATGCGAATCGCTGCAAGGGCGTAGTAGTGAACCATCAATTTTATCTGGGTACAATGTTTTTCTCATCGAAAAACATCATGCATATCGATGACAACGAGAAACTTGATCGTTATCCAAAGGCGGAGGTGAAACCCCTATGTTGTTTCTTACATCCATGGCTTGAATGGAAAGTGGTTGAAGCTGGACAGCGTATGTACACACACAGCCTGCCTGTAAAGGGTGGTGGGAGGGGGGGGGGGGGGCTGCAAACAGGGTCCGGATTCCGGTGCTTGGTCCAGCTATGGACCATGGGAGGAGAGGCGGGCGAAGGAGAGACACCAAGACCGGATTGTAAACAGCACAGCGGGTGGACCATGCCGGAGACCACTGAACCATCCGGTCTGTGCGGAGACAGAAGTGGTCCACGGTATAGTCCCAGACCGGTCAGCACATCCGGTCCGTCCCGTCTCAGCCCGTCTGGTCGGCCGGCCGGCCGGTCTGTTCGATTCTCCGCAGCGCCATTCAGCCAGGAAACGGGCGGCATGTGCGCTCAATGGCGGCACGCGGAGGTAAAGGTCGCTTCACATGGTGCTCACGACTTTCTCGGTTCCGGTCCCGCCGTCGGGCCACTCGCTGACAGGAAACCGGCGCAGAAAGTGGCCGACGGAGGCGAGTTTTTACCTCCCCGTTTTGGAGGGGGCCCGGCCGGTGACGCTGTCACCGCGGCTTTCATTGATCGTGCACGGATAAGGGGACCAACGATCAGCCGATAGTCTGGATCGGCTTCAGTAAGCTGTGCGCGATCTTCGGTTACGTCAGTATCCGTATACAGAGCGCCAGTTCATAGGGATCATAGGGTTTTCGTGAGAAACAACCATATAACACCAAACGAGCTATGGTTCCGAATTCAATGCTGACACGGCGAACATTATCGATCCCTTCATCATACATACTGTGACCTGCAGCTGCAGCCACTGACACCTCAGTACCGACGTCAAGCCCCCTAAATAGGTGACTGGAGGCGCAGTATCGCCGCCATAACACCGTCGGCGTGCCGTGTGGGCGCGGCTCCTATACCCGGCGACCTTGGTTTTTACACGGTCCCGCATGCCTCCCGTGATGGCGTCCTGAGATGCAGTCAGGCCGGAACTACAGGGGAGCGGGCGGGGTTAGGATTGTGGGTTTAACCTTTGAATAGATCATCTCAAATAGTTTCACAGCCGGCCTAAACCTCATGGAAGAAATTATTGGGATCGTTTCTCAGTTATCCGTGCATTATGATCCACATTTTTTGTCGAGTTGCTTCTTGACCTTTTCGCCAATTAAAAATACTGAATATGAAATGGCACAAAATGGTAAGATTCATGCCAAAACGCGGCTGTTTGCAAAAATACCTACGTTGAACGTGGAATGCAAAAACGGTCCATGCTTTGGATCTCTCGCGAATAATCGGCCATGCACGCTCATTGGCGGCTCATATGGCGGCGAACTGGCATCGTCCACCTGCTTTGCTCCTCTACCTTTGTTCAGACATCAAACCCGTGTGACGGAGCTGCGGGTGATTATAATTCTGCCGGTGTCTTTGTGAGCCGCCGTCAGCCCAACTGGCACGCAGGGAAACCATTCCGAAAGCCTTGCACGTGACTAATGAAGTTTGACGGCTCGCGGAGCTGTCACGAGAGGCTCGCTATCGATATTGAACGGAGCTCAGCGTTTTTTGACTCTCGAGCTTGAGAAACTTGCAATACTTTTAGGTACTTCTTTGCATGCCGGTAGCGATGTAGATATGGTTTGCCAATTATAAAGTTCCCGGAGGCCACTCCGCGATAACTGTAAAAACGCACCGCAAAACTGATCGTAAATGACGTTACCGGTACACCCAAATGATTAAGTGCCGATTCAATGACAAGCGCCGGGCCTAGTTGGTTTATAAAATGTCACTCATCCTTTGCCCTGTATCGCAAAAAGAAGGAAAATATGATATCCGATATTACAAAATGTAGGCAGGGTAGGCGGACGTACAACATCGAAATAATCGTCTTGCCTTACTGGCAGTTCAGATTGATTGCCAAAATACAACCCATCGTTGCCTTTCTTGTCCTGCACTGCAGGCAGCGTTGAGAAACAGTCATGCAACGTTTATCAATCGTTCTGTTTACCTTCACATTTAGACAGACAGATAAACGTTATATGCCTGGTTCCGCTTTTAATTAATTGTCGTATTTGCTGAAGCCGCAACCAATCAATGACTCGAGATCCCCATAACAAGCCCCACCCAAACTCACGGCCACAATGACAGCTGATGCGGGATTTAACCCCGACATCCACCGGCCGTGACCGCCCGTGTTTACAGTTCGTTCGCTCGTTAGCAGCCGTGTTCAGCCGACACTTTGCCCTCATCTCCACGCCGATCGATGGCCTGTCATTGGTCATCGTGAGAGCTGCAGACAGCTGGTGTCACGAGCAGAACAGGCTCGGGCGGGGCGGGGTCAGACGGGGTCAGACCGGGTCACCGCCAGAGGTCACCGACGGACACAGCGGGGCGCCGGGCGATCACCGTCAGGTCACTTGGGGGTCGCCGGCAGGTCACCCGTCGACCTGAGCGAGAATCACCACTGGGAGGCCCTCAGAATGGGGTCTGAATGCCTTCGGCATTGATTTGGAGTGCCCTCAGATTCATTGTGGGTGACCTCAGTCTGGACCACCATGGATCGGATGATGTCACATCAAAGCCATACCCCATATTCGATCGGTGATGCATCACTGACATCAACAAAAGAACGCGGGATGAGATAGACGCCTGGGTCGACGTTAGGTCGTGATGCTTCCAGCCGGCGTGCGGCGCGTAAAGATGATGATGTGTGGGTGTGAGGAAGGGAACAAGGGGAGAGTGAGAGCGCCCACGCGTCGCGCATAGCCACGATGTCTGATTGGTGCGCCCGCTGGGATGTAGCGGAGAAAGTGACAAACTGTTGTGACCAGTTGTGTGCCGCGGAGAGCGGGGCAAACAACACGAATCCCATCTTCCCTCCGGGAGATAGTCTGGGCACGAACAGAGCTGAGTCAACGAGCATGTGTTGTGAATGCACGAGACTGGTCATTTGTCAGTTGTTTCTCTACATTATCCAATACCCATGAACGGGATATCAACTGGTTCAAAGGAGTTGGTCGATTTGAGCGCTATTAGCTACAAATGAGCCGGATTTAAGCAGCATACAAAGCTCCAAGACATAACAGTGCCTTGTTTATCGACTTCCTTCCTCCACTTAGCCATCGAATATACGGGATTTCCGTTCGACGAAGCTTACCCTGGCCGGTTTTGTTGCATTGTGTGTCCGGCACACACATTGTACTTCCGGCAACATGCGATTCGACAATGATATCATATTTAAGCCCCAAAGCACATGCTTACACAGGCCAGAGCGTACAAGACTAGCCTGCTATCTAAGATATGTTTTCTTCAGCCATGGCTAATCCTTGTCTCATGAAGCAGAGTCGCACCGACTAGAACTGACCAAAATAGCACAGTCCCACATTCCAAAAGCTGCCAACATTCAGGCATTTGTGTCGGTCACAAATGTGGCCTAAGTGCGGTCGAGAACGCTGACCAAACGGCGTCCCCGTCTCGACTCTAGGCACCCATGTTCTGTTCTGTTATTCAATCCCCTTATGCCGAGCCCTGCTGATTCTGGTGGTCACATGGTGCGGGAGGAAGGGGGATGGAGATGCTATGGCGTTCATGCCTCTATTATTCCGCCCCTATTACAGTGCACGGAAAGACTGGGATACTCGACCGTCGAATGTCGATTGCCTTCCAGTTAGCGTCCCCAAGACAGTTCCTCCTACATCTCGTTTAGCAGCGGCCCATCTGGCAGTGTGCTGACCCCTGTTTTGTCCGTCTGTCCCCAGATACTGAAGAGACAGTGCTGTCGCCGGCCGGGTCGCCCATCTCCAACAAGGCGCTGCTCTTCAACGACACCATGCGTCTGCACATGCCGGTGCCGCGGCCGTCAGTGCAGGACGTGTTCTCTCCTCCTTCCTCCGACGGTGGCGCCAGGCGCTCCAGCATCGGCAAGTCCAACTCGTTCAGGACCCATCTGGGGAGGCCGCGCGAGCCGCCGCCACCGCCTCCCGAGAAGCCGTCCCCGCCGCCAGCTGGGGAGGCGGCAGAACCTGCTCCAGTCCCGGAGACCTCCGCTCTAGCCTCGTCTCCATCCGCTGCTCCGATCAGAGAGCAGCCGAAGATGGAGCTCCGAGGCACGCCTTCGACAGAGACAGCGCAAAAGGCTTCAGCACCTTCCTCGTCTAGCAAAGCAGCCAACAGCCGCACGAGCACTGTGCCGACAGCGGCCAAGACGAAGACGACCACGACGAATAGAGCGGCATCCAAGATACCCACCAAGTCGCCGTCGAAGTCTCCTTTGAAGTCTTCGTCGCCATACGCGGCGCCAGTCCCTGTCACACCGTCGAGGCCGCTGAACGCCGCGCCGAGGGCCCGTCCGGCTTCTCTGTCGACGTTCAGTCCCAACGCGCCGCTAACTGTCAGCGGACCGATCACAGAGCTGGACCTGGGCCGGCGACGGTCCCAGGCAGCGGCTCGAGGTCGGCCGAGCCCGCCAGCACGAGCCGGACTGGCAGTGGCCATCCCGCAGGTGCCTGTCTCCGGCAGCGGTGACAGCAGCGGCGGCAGCAGCGCCGACAGCGGCCGGGGAGACAGCCGTGCTGGCAGTAGGGACAGTAGCACGGCTCGCGTGCCGCCCCTGCACGCGCCACAGCCGGGCACGGAGTCCGACCGCGTCTCCGTGTCGTCAGAAGGCAGTGACACCCCTCCTCCGCTGCCGAGCAGCGCCCCGCCGCCTCTGCCGAGCTCGGCACCGCCGCCGCTGCTGCACACCAGCACATCCCTTCCCTCGTTCCACACCAGTGTGTCACTACCGACCCTGCGCGGCGACTCACCTCCGCCGCTGCCCTCCAGCTCTCCTCCGCCTCTCGACGATGAGACGTCGAGCCCAGCTCCCTCGCCAGTCTCCTCGTCATCCTCGCCGTCAACGCCGATCGTCTCTGCCGAGACGCGGCTCCAGCGCGTCTTGGACTCCATCGCCGCCGAGGCGCGCGCCGTTCCGCGTACCCCCTCGGAGGCAGCTCCTCCTCGCAGCTACTGCTCTGTCGACGCCATGATTGAGTGGCGCACTGACGAGCCAGAACCTGACCACATCTACGAGGAGATCCCGGAGCGTCGCCAGCGGCCGCGGCTGCGCGCGCTGCTGCAGACAGTGACCGGCTCTCCGGCGCTGCCGGCGCGCCGGACGTCCATGTTCGGTGGTGCGTCACGAGCGGAGATCCTCAGCTACTTGCAGACGGCCCGAGAGCGGCAGCTGGCCTCGGAGCCGGAGACGGAGTACGGATGGGACTGGAGCGGGCCGACCAGCTCCACCAGTGACACGTCAGAGGAGGGACGGCCCGGCTCGGCAAAGGTGAGAACGACCGGCTCGGACTAAACAGATTGGAGTGGGGTGTGACATTGGGGGAGGAAGCACAGCATCTGGGCGGAACCACATTAGTTGCTTTGCAAAATTTTGAGAAAACTTTCGGAGAAACTCAGAAATTAATTTAAATAGCTATTACTTTCATTCAAGAACGAATGGATAAACTGTCAAATTTTGACGGATTAATATACCTTTAAATCGGAATGTTTTTGCGTAGCCTCGATTTTGGGAGGGGCCTAAGTACCTGATAAGATGATAAGATTCTGATATGGTGTCAAGACTTCAGACACGTGGTGGTAATTTGATCCCGCTCGAGGCGAATTCACCGTGATTTAGGCCGGATTTAGCCTCACGGTGCCGTACGCCTCCGTGACACCCAATCCCTGGACCGGGACAAGTGGATGCAAAGCGCCTCAGATGGGCACATTGGTAATTGGAGCCTGCCGAGGGAGGGTCGAACCTTGAATATGAATGAAACTGTCGGATAATAATAATCGCCTGATGGCTATCAAGGATATTCACACGTCATATTACTTCAGTCGCCGAGAACCACCTTCTATTAAAGTAGAGGGGCGAGGTAAACTGACTCCATGTTCACTAACGTAAACCATCTGTAGCTTATTCCAAGCGCGTTTAACGAGAGGTCGAAGCTCTGGAAACGCCTGCCGCGATGTGGAGGCCCGCCATTGACCTTTGATCCGTCACACCCCGGCCAGGGCACGCCTCCGCTTGTTATACGAGTGCGTTCACCCGCCCTTCGTGGCTGCTGTGACAGGAGAATACAGCATCCGTGTTATCTCTGCCCGCTGCGGGCCTCTGACCAGGATTAGGAGTGCAGCACACAAATCGACTCGTCGCCGCTGACCCCAAATTGTAGCGGTGAGCCGCCGCGTCATTTCGTGACATGTGGTCGTGTCTCGTGGTTTTGTGATGTATGTGACGGCGACCTGCCCGACTTTGCCAGGCTCTAATGCGGTGCTTACTGTTTCTTAGGAAGCGTGTGCCACTGTTCGACTTTCGTAATGGTTCGGTATGCGATTTGGACATTCGTGTCGGGCATTTCAACCACAGGTATATTGAACTTCCCGACTTGTAAAAGTTGAATGATCATCTCTTCGAATCCGACACCGAAATAAGCCAAAACAGTATCGACCCCACGTTAACAAAAGCTCAATTTCATCGATCCCCACAACATCTCTCGTCTGTCACTGAGCCCGCGGCCGACCTGCAATGACCCCTGATGACCCCTGACCTCCCGCACAGATGGGCCGCAGCCTATCCGCCGAGGTGGAACGGACGGATTCCGGCGTCGGCTCGGAGACCAGCAAGGGCACCGTCCAGCTGGGGGACCACGACTGTGACGACTGCCTGCAGCCGGTGCCCACTCAGGTCTCAGATAGGTCAGTGCTGAGTGCACAGTGCATACCCGAATGCGTGTGCGAAACTGTGGATACCTACATGTGCATATTGTGTGATGCATAATTCATATATGCAATTGCAACTCTGCATGTAGCTCATCAAAGCCTTCAGCGCCTTCGCTACACAGTTGCTTTTCTGTCTACCCGCACCTGTACCTACCTACCGCTATGCACCTGCGGTGGTTCATACGATTTCCATTCATGAAATGAGATTTCATACTTTCAACAATCTTGAACGATTTCCATTTATTCGGGAATTCCACTCTCCCTCCCTCCATCCCTCTTATCTCTCTCTCTCTCTCTCTCTCTCTCTCTCTCTCTCTCTCTCTCTCTCTCTCTCTCTCTCTCTCTCTCTCTCTCTCTCTCTCTCTCTCTCTCTCTCTCTCTCTCTCTCTCTCCTCCCTCTCTCCTCCCTCTCTCCTCCCTCTCCCTCTCCCTCTCCCTCTCCCTCTCCCTCTCCCTCTCCCTCTCTCTCTCTCTCTCTCTCTCTCTCTCTCTCTCTCTCTCTCTCTCTCTCTCTCTCTCTCTCTCTCGGCCGGTCCTCGGAAGCGGGCGTGGGAACCGACCACGGATCCAGTCCACCGCGACTTTGTTCGACCCGTGGCCCGCTCCGTGGACTGGCCACAGACCAATTACCGATAATGGAGCCAGCAAATTGAGCCGCCCGGCCGCGCCGGTCCTGGCTGGAACGGCCGGTATCAGCGGTCATAGAGGCTACTCCAGGCTGGGACGTTCCGCACGATAGGCCTCAAAGCTCGGCAAAGCCACGGTGGCCGCCTCTGTCCACCGTTCTTGTGGAGCATGACTATTACGGAACGTGTTACGTAGCACTTCGTGTCTGAATGCAGTGGCTGGACGCGCGAAGGCACTCGCCACGCGTCGGGCCGGTCCCGTTCGACTGCGGCGGTGATGGTTTCGGGGTGAGAGGTCACCACGCCGCTGGGTGTCATTGCAACGGTGTGCTTGTGTCGCAAGGTGACAGAGTTCAGCTCACGGCTCGGTCAGTTCACATGTCCGACTTTGAAAATAGGACGCAAACGAGGGCTGAGGTGGTCTTTGCAAAACAAGTGTCGGGGCTAATATGTAGAAGTCGTTGTCACACATAGCTAGCAATGTTGATGGATAGAGAGTGCGACGGTGCATGCTGCTCCATTAGAGCTCATAGCCAACATTGTGCAATGCGCGCTACGCACCGAGCAATCAGGCAATTTGATTCCTACTCGGCTCATGCCTCTAGCGTCCCTCCTTCAGCCATCTCGTTTACACTCAAACATATAACGCCAACCAAGCCGTTCGACTCGACTCGTGAACTCATGACCCCGATGTCCGCCCCTTCCCTAACCTCCCTCCTCTCAGTTCACCACAGTAAGCCGAAGCGCGTCTCCAGATCCGTTTAAAATGCACCAGAGCTCGCCCAGAAACGGCGATTAGCCGCGAAATTACACACCCTCCACCGATTGGGGTCATCACGGGTTATTCCGGGAGGAGGGCAAAAACGGCAGATCGGCAGCTACCGTGGTGCGGCTGAGAGCGTGATGAGTCCTCCGCGGATCCACAGGCGTGAGGCCAGGGAATTAGTGTCGTCTTTAATTGAGCAGGATGAACATTTTGTGGTGGACTCTAACGCAGCGTAATAAGCATGCATGTCTAATTGCCAATTTCGTGACATGATAATATCATCGAGGTTTTAATTCTGCTGCCATGAACAGGGGCGCGGGAACTACTTTCCGACTGGGGGGGCACACCATAATAGAGATCAACCTAGGGTACCCCCAAATCTAGTTTTCTCACCGGTTTTAGGCCACTTGTTTTTCATCCCTCGGCTTTTTCAACAAAAAAGAAAAACATTTGCAAAAAAATGTGGTATTCCGTCTCAAAGCTGTGGGGGCACCGCCCCCACGGCCCCAGAGTTGGGGGGGCAAGCTGCCCCCACTGCCCCCCCGGCTCCCGCGCCTATGGCCATGAAACTTTTGCAGAGATAGAGAAGTCATTTCATATGCTATTACTGCTAGGCGTGACACTGCGTGCCAAACTTTTTTATGAATGCATATTGGAATATTTTCTCCGATCTGACCTCGGTGACCCTTCTCGACAGCGGTGAGCTGTTTGACCCGTCCGTCTGCGGAAAATGTGAGAAGAAGCGCCAGGAGCGGAAGGAGATTCTCACGGAGATCGTGGAGACGGAGCTCAAGTACGGGCGCGACCTGCGCGTGATGCTCGAGGAGTTCTACCGGCCCATGCTGGTGGCCGGACTGCTCACCCACGAACAGCTCTCACAGGTGAGGAGGGCGAAATCTCTCAGATTAGCCAACGGTTCTCACAGGCAAGCGGCGGCCGGAGGACTCTTACAGAAAACCAGACTTTGAAAGATACCAAAGAAACCTCGACATCTCAGGGTCTTTCAGGGATCAGTTCTGGGTCCCACGGGCTTACAGTTCAGCGGGTCTTGGGATATCGTAGGTCAGAAACTCACATAGGGCAGTGGCTAAACTATCAAAGGTACATCCCTGGCTCTTACAGCCTGCTAGTTTCAGGACGTCAAAGGTCGATATCCGACACTAGTCCTCCAGGAGACCTTGATTCTCTAACGAACAACCCTTTCACACGGTAGATAATTGTGGTCGGCTCCCAGAGAACGACAATAGGCGGGCGAATGTGAAGAATACAATTACAGACACGCCACATTAAAATGTCGGCGTGAGGGTAAAGAGGCGATTTCTATGTCTAGCTGGCCCCGCCCCTGGCACCTGGCTCGTGGTTTTTTAGCGTGATGACACAGGCACGCATGCCGGCCAAAGAGCCCGCGAAATTCTCCACAGGATTCGGCCTCGGCTTTGAACGCTTATAGAACAAGGTCGGTATTTTCAGGTAAAGCTGATTATGTGTCGTTCCATTCTTTGGAACATTTTTGTTAATCACTTAATACGTGTCTAGTGCAATGGGTTATCCCTTATCAACATGGCCCATAAAATTTGGGTGATAGGTGTTAGGGCGTTCCAACATTTAACAATACAAAATCCAGGAAGATTCGGTAGGATAAACCTAATTTGGAAGGCTGAGGCCAATCTCCTGTGGTACAAAAGCTGGTCATAAAATGTTCGTTGCATGTCACTTACTACCAAGCTACACTGAAAACTTCTATTTCCGAGCCTACCTGCGGTCTGAACAATGACCCAACAGCCAGAAACAGCAATTACAACATGTTGTACAACGTACAACGTATGTCATGTATGACATACGTTATTACGTGGAAAGTCAATGACCTGTTTATAGTTACACACAAGGAACTTGTAAATTCGTTACAATCGCTATATTTTTAGGCGCCGAGGATAGGAATAGGCGCCAAATCCTGCATAAAAGGGCAATCAATTGTGGATATTTGAAAATAGGCGACCCGTGAGTCGTGACTACCCATTCGTGATCCCGGCGCCGCACTCAGTGAGGATATTAAAGCATTGTTATTCCGAGCCAATTGCAGTGCGGATAGTGATACCGATATTTGCATCGCTTCATCGATGTTTATCATTCAGTACCAAAACGCACAATGGCAGTTTGAAGTACATTTAGCTGGCCATTGTTTGTGTTTTTTGTTTTTGAAGCAGACCGTCCCATTGAAGAGACCCGTTTCCTCCCCGTTGTGGCCGTTACAGCCGTCTGACCGGTTGATTTCTTTTGTCGGTCAGATCTTCCTCAATGTTGAGGAGCTACTGGAGGTGAGCCGTCAGCTGACAGCCCGGCTCAAAGACGCCCTCGAGACGGCGCTCAACGTCGGCGACGACGACCTTCTGAGCGTCAGCATCGGCGACGCGTTTCTGGACGGGCTGGACAACACGCTGCGCGCCTTCGAGACCTACTGCACTAAACAGGTGGGCGAACCGGGCGGTACCTACACGGCGGTCCAGACGGGATCTGCATTGGCAGCATGGAGAAAGAAGGGTTAATATGAAAAGTAGGCGAGTGCCTATATTGAGTGTTTTTAAGAATGATTTCGAATTATGTTCATTTTATAATGTTTTTCAGCAGCAATGCATGAATGTGGGCCAAACTTATCAGGCTCATGTAGTGCCCTAATGAAATTGGATATGCTCGCAAGCCGGTCAGTGTAGCAACTATCAAGAGCAGGGCAGGGCAGGAGCGGGGCAGGCGGGGGCGACGCCAGCCCAACTTCCGATATTGAACCATCCAGCAGATCCCGTCTGCATGAGCAGCAATGGCCAGGGCTAACCAGTGCGTGTCGATGGCCTGCCCACCGCTGACCACAAACTGTGCCGGTGCGTGCATGCGGTGATACCGCCGCCGGCCGGGCTCCTTCCTTAGCGGGCAGCGGGTCCGAGGGCGCGGCAGACCGGTGGGACCGGTCCAACACCCGTTCGGACACCGCCGTACGCCACTAGCCGGCGTGGGAGGGGCGGTCCGGCGGTTCACAACTGGAGCGCACGCTGGACCGGAGCGGTGGAATGGTGGGGAGTGGAGCTGGGGATGGTCTGGGTGGTTAATTGGAGAGGAGTTGGTGGTAAATATGAATGCAAAAGAAATCTGGCAATACAATGATAGCCTTTACGTTGGGTGAATCGTATACCTACTGTGGCTTGTAGTGCTAAAAATTCCGGCATAAGCGAGAATGAGTCGTGTACCCAGACACACTCAGCCCTCAGATGCTAAAGTCAGGAATGTTAGACAACTGACAAGGTGCCCAAGGGACGTGTTGGCAAAAACAGTGGCGTAGCACCGTTCAATAGAAGTCGAGTGGCTTGTTAGCTCATCCAAAAGAAGGTCATTTTATGAGGAAGGCATTTTAGGCCTGCACCGAAAGTCCATTTTATTAACTATCTGCAGTTTTATGCCGTGCATATTTGCCGTTTCACTTTTAATGCGGATTGCGTGTTCTCATAATGTACTGGCATCTTCACGACGGGTTTTGCTTAGCTAAGCCAAACTTGTCATGCCTTTTGTTTTTCTGGCCAACTTCATGATATTGTCCGATAAGTGCCATTCGAAGAAGCTTATCGCTAGAGCTTAACAGTGACCTCGATCGAAGACATGTTTTTATGAGAGGTCGACGAGGCATTCAAAAAGTTAATTGAGTGAAGTGGGCGCGATATCTGCAGCGGGTCCGGTGCGGTGTTTTAAATCACACCCCAACCAGTTTAATGAGACACCCGGTCCAGCTATCCAGTTACTATGGCGCTGGTGCCGCATAACTCAATCTCAATGCATGCAAGTTGCGATTGGGATTGTAACTATACTGGAGCCCGGTTGTTAGGTGACTAAAGATTGACAAACACGGCTGAGTCCTTGAGGACTCATCAACTGTTCTTTCTAACCAGCATGCACCAAAGATCCGCAATTAAAGACATAAATCCCGTTATCAAAATAAGTCGTTGGACGAGTCAGAAGCTGGCGTCACGCACGAATAGGCCTTGGATGAAAACACGACTGTGATGATGATGGTACGAGTTTAAGGACGCATCGGGGATAAAGACCATTTGGCGTGAAAACAGACTGTCTAAGAATGCATTCGAGTGCCACGAGAACTTCTGCTAAACTGACGCTCCCTCGTCTCGACAGGGTGCCGCCTCTCTGCTTCTCGCCAGCCTGGAGAAGGAGCGAGAGCTGCTGCGCGTCTTCCTCAAGGTCTCCCAGATGGAGAACAGCCTCCTGCGGCGAATGAACCTCAGCTCGTTCCTAATGGTGAGTCCCTGTCTCAATCACGACAGGATGGTGGCTGCCAGAAATGGGCGCATGGACTGCGTCAAACTGTGGGACGGGTTAGATTGGATGTCCGATGTAAATCAGTTGGAAATAGGATACTGCTTCCCACAGAAGATGGTCTCATTTTGTCGTTTTTCTTTAGGAAGCCACACGCAAAATGCCTCGCGACTGGAATTGACCCAGCCATGCATGAACCAATCTAAAGCGGAGCCTCTCTATTAGTTCGCCCTGCCTCGATGAGAACAGTTCCCATGCTCCGTCCATCCAGCTGCACTCTGACGCCGTATACCCTGTTTGTGTGTGTTTCTGCAGGTGCCCATCCAGCGGGTGACCAAGTACCCCCTGCTGCTGTCTCGGCTGCGTAACGTCACCCCTGCCAGTCACGAGAGCAGTGGCCCGCTGGCTGAGGCCCAGGAGAGGATCGAACTTCACCTGGAGCATATGAACGCCGTGAGTACGGTACCGAGCACCGAGGGGTAACGACAAAATAGGGTACCGATTGTCCAGCCAATTAGTGACAGTTAGGAGCAGCCCGGCAATGTAGGTACAACGGTGAAACGACGGCCTATTTGAGAATGCTGAAGCAGCGAGATAGTTGGGAATGTGATCTTGATTTGATCTATGAGTCAGTGAATGTAATTTGAAACGAGTTGGTTTGTGGATGGAGAATTTTGATGACAAATGCACGAAGCCCCGTATTGATTTCCGTGCTCGATAAGATGGTCATACTCCAAACTGTAAAAACGACCACGGGCAGGCCCAAGTCAGCTACCCAAAACCGCAAGCGGGAAGTTTGGAGAATGCCGCTGCGGCTTATGAAAGCTCGGTGGAGCGACCTTTGAAGGGCTAATAAATCACAAACCTCTGACCTTTATTCTACATCCTTTCACAAACTACTCCGCGGTCAACAAGCCAACCGCACTCTTCCGAGCGGCCGGAGCGAAACTGACCGCAAACACTGCCGTCGGTTGAGAGGAAGACGCCAGTTCCGGCTAGGTCCGAATAGCCCAACCATTAGGCACCTATTCTCCAGTCTCTTGACGTAGTCTGACAAATAATCACGATATTTCATCCATGACAAGACGAGCCATAGCGACAAAACTCAGCTGTGATTTACGAGTCTGTGCGCCCGGGCCGACATGTCATTTCCGGTTCGCCAGGCGGGGCGATACCGCCCACTTCAAGGTCAGAAGGAAGTGGCGCCATTTTACACATGGCGCGACACGGAGCGTCCATGTGGTGACTACTATGCATTTCAGACCCCCTGGAACAGTCCTTTTTGGCTCTTTCTCGTTACCTATACGCTTGCTTTCAACCAAACTTTGACACAATGAGTTTCAAGGGCCTACCTAATTTTTACTAATATGGTCTTTTAACAAATTGTCAAGATGAAAGGCACTTGTCATTGACTTGTAATGGCAAAAATTGATCGGAAAACTCTGCGCCGTGGTAGAGGCTAGCACGGCGTAGCAGCGTCAGCTATTGCGCCGCGGCTAAGCTCCGCCCACTGCGCCGCGACACCGAGACCGGTCATTCGCCTCTCGGGGTCGGGGCGGTGCGGAGCTCTGGCGGACTGGAACAAGACGCACGCTAACGCAGGTATCCTTGCGTGAATGTGTCGCATCTCGCGCGGAGAGAACGAGGATGAAGAATGCAATGCAATGCAGATCGGTGCATGTATAAAGCGATAAGCACTCCTTTCAACTACAGAGTAAGCTCCAGAATGTTATTGCCTACAAAATTAAAAGAATCTTACTTTCAATAATTTACAACGAGCTTCTCCGCTGCCCTGTTTTCCTACAGGCTATGGTGCATTTAAGGAGCAACGAAACAGAATCTACTGGATTGTCTTTAGATACGTATTTGCTATGGAATGTGACATTCAACGGCCTTATTTGAGGATATACACATATGAACTTGCATTTCCTTTTTTTTAAGTAAAATTGTGTTATTTTTTGGTGTAAAAATATTTAATTTTCCATAATAGTTCCACAATGCTTTGAGGATATCGTTGATAGATCTTAGGGCTGAAAAACATTAAAACAGAGAAAGATGTCTTTCGTCTACCGTTTTTGCCTCGGGTCTCCTGTCTCTGCCCTAGCGTTTATGCACATTGTTTGCTGTCCACTAGCCACCGTCTACCGTTAGTCTCATTGTCACTTTGTCTCATCTTCCTTTTTCTTTCTCCCTCCGTCCTTATTTGTCGTAGAACACCTTAATAATACAAGTTCATGACGTGCAAGTGCTCCACTCCGCTGCGCTGCGCTGCGCGCGCGGCCCGCACGCCGGCCGGCCAGACTGCGACTGCCGCCATGACCCGAGGCTGGACCGCAAGTGGGCGGAGCCAAGCCGCAGTGACGACCAATCAGAGGGGAGACAGCGCCCAGCCTGTGCCAGCCTCTAAGCAGGGCTCTGACGACCTTAACATTATCAGTCAATGACAAGTGCCTTAATTTTTTAATTTTTGTTAATAGACCATTTTGATAAAAATTAGGTAGGGCTCTCAAACTACCAATGCCAAAATTTGGTTAAGATCAAACGCATATACAACGAGAAATAGCCGAAAAGGACTGTTCCACAGGTTCTGAAATACATAATAGTGACCATGTGGGGGTGTTCAAGACAACTCATTCGTGTGATAATTAGTGTGCGGTGTATGCGTACAGCTCGTTTGTCAATGGCTCTGCCTTCGCTCTGCGTTGCCTTGCTGTAACCGTCTCACGCCTAGCTGTATCGCTGGCGCTTCCCGGGTCGGCACTGGCTGCAGTGACCTGACCTGACCCGCTCTTTGTGTCGGCCAGACGGCGAAGGAGAGCGGCGGCTCGCGCATCTGGCGCCGGATCTCCATGATGGGAGCCAGTACCACACCCATGAAGCGGAGTGTCTCCGAACAGGACATTACCACACTACGGCTGAGGAAGGTGAGGACAAAGCACCGGGATCTATTGATTCAGTTCAGCGATACAATAACAGCGATCCTGCTAAGCATTGGTCCATGACATGTTTTTGAGCTGCCGCTATGGAAGATTGATGGAGTGTAGTTATGGCACGTAGCCGCCGGTTGCCACCCCTCCCGATGTTGTCTGTCGGCTAGATTAGCCCCGACAGTTTGGTTCGCTGTGTGCTCGCCATCCCTCCGATCGAGCAGTTTTTTTTTCTGACCACTTGCCTCGGGCCTTTGAGTCAAGTCTACATAAGTGAAGTTAACCCTCTCGGACCACTCAGCCCATTGACCCGTCTATTCACCGTTCTCTTATTTCACTCTTTAGTGCCCTGAGTTCACTCTTCGACCTCCCTCCCCACCTGCAGTTCGGTCTGGAGGTTCTCGACTGGGCAGCTGAGGACTCCACCGTGGCCCTGGAGGGCCGCCTCCTCTACACCCTGCCCGCCGAGAACAACTGGACTCGCCGCGGCCGGTTCTCAGTCCGTATGACCGCCGTACACGCCCTGCTAGTGACCAGAGGCGGCGGCGGCGCGGCCGACTGGACTGGCCACCTAGCGGCCGGCGAGCGAACCCTGTTCCCGCGCACCGGCCGCCTGCAGCAGGGGGCGCTGCTGCTGGTCAAGGACAGGTCCGCCAGCAGGATGGCACTCGTCAGGGTGAGTGACATGGGTTGTTGGAGGGGAGGGTGCAAAAGCTTCAGGACAGGGTCAGGGACGGCATCAGGAAGACAGATGTCAGTGGAAAGCTGAGCAGGGCGGGATTTCAGTTCAGGGCCCATCGACTGAGTTCTACCAGAAGAGGATGCAACAGCGCCTTGCCAGTTGCCATAGCCGGTCACATGCAGAGGTGATCTTTGATCGCCGACCAGCCCTATGTAACACTGATTGACACTGCGTCGCTCAGATCAAAGCTCATCGCTGAAGCCAAAAGGCCACGTAACCAGCTTCAGAGGTTCGTCTTGGATTTACTGACGTGGTTCCATTCTTTGTCCACAGGAGCCGCTGTTTCTGGACAAGTGCATCGTCTGCACGGATCCCGAGGTCCGCGAGTGCTTCGAGATCCACGAGCACACGACCAAAGAATCACTCATTGTCAAGGTGGGTACTGAGCAGGCCTCCAACGATGCGGCATTGAGCTATGGCGTCCCGCGTCAGAGCAGGCCACTCGCGGTAATCCTATACGGCGCGACGGTCTTCCCAGTCTTATCCAGTAAAATACAGCTCGATACGATCATGGATCAACGTATAGGCATCCATGGATGATGGATCAGTGTTATCATAAAGGTGTTAACTGTCAGCCAGGTCTTCTAAGAAGTTACCTCGCCGAACGCCAGCTTGTGCTGATCTGACGTTCTGCCCCCAGTCCCATCCTCCAGCAGCCAGTCATGACACCCTCGACTTTGCCCCCAGGCGGAGGACGGCGATCGAACCGATCTGTGGCTCCGCCACCTGCAGTACCTCGCGCAGCGGCTCGGCACCTGGCGAAAACGCCGCAACGGCCTGGCCAACATCATGATCGGCCTGTCCGAGATGTAGGTGCTGCCACCTACACACGCGGCCGACGTATGGTGCTGCCATCTGTGATAGTCTGCGGACGTGCGGTTGCTGCGCCCCGCAGATCGCTGTGCGATGCCTGTTCCAGCTGTGACCTTTGAATGAACGAACTATTGCCCCCTGGAGGGGCTGCTGTATATCGAAACTTGTACTCGTGAGTGTGTGAATGTGCCCTAAGCGTAGTCGAGAGGCTAATACCAGACGTGGCCGATTTTGTGTATCTGAGGCCATTTCTACTCGGCATGTATAGCTACATGTGCTAATATACAAACAACCGAACTCCTAGTTTGTTTTTAAAGAGCGGAATGTGGCAAGGAGATTGTTCATATATCACAAGAAACGGTAAAACCGAGACAATCGATCTCCAATTCACTGGAAGCAATTTGCCGCGGTCTGATTCACATGAAGGGAAAATTACCCCTGATTGGTGGACGACGGACGTATTTCCTCATCAGATGACAGAATAGGATTTGCCGCTAAATCACTTCAATTTGAACTATGGGTGCAATTTACTGCCAGCTTTCTTGCAAGCAGTTTGTGAGGAAAACAAGATGCTGATTTTGAGCGATGCATTGGTAACAGGCGCAGAACTCAAAAGCATATTACCAGAGGGATGTGCAATAAATCAGACTTTGCATTGGGCCGACGGATGGTCTCGACTCCAAATACACCTGTTGCGGTGCAGTTTAACTAGGGTTAGTTCAATAACATTGACAATACTAAGATGAAGCAACCCAGGTAAAACCAATAAATCAGCTGCTGCATATACAAAAAAGTGGATGTAACGAAGCTGCTGCAGAGGTGAAGTGTGAACGGTGAAATGAGATCACAAACGCCCCTAAGATCAGCCATGAAGGCAGAGCGACATATCCCCGCTCCAATATTATAATCAAGTGTTGCAATATAAGTGTTATAACTTTATAAGTGTTGAACTAACTACACCTGTAGTGTAGCACTGTAGTGCAACGCCTTTTTTTAATCGACGAGCCGCGAGTGTGTGTCAGATAGCTGTGGGTATTGCGAGTGCGTACGTGTAAATCGAGACCGCAGCTGGATGGAATGGGCCACCCATACTGACAAAACCTTTATCGAAGCATCGAATCCGTCAAAGACAGAAATAAATACGGTGTATATAAAACTTGCACCGAGTTCAACGATGTGACACCACCTAACAAATAATGCCTCAGCAATGCCTCAGATTCCCATGTAGCAATTCCTGACCTCGGATTCCCCCTGTTTCCCGTCTCACTACGTCCAGGCATTCCGTCTGCCCCAGTCCACCCACCTTCTCTGAGCCATACCCCAAAAAGAGATAGGTACTGACTGTTCACCATTGTATTGATTTACTTAGCGGCGGGCTTTTTGGCGACCTTCTTGCCACCCTTCTTGGTTTTCGTCTTCTCAAGCTTGTTCTTCTTGGCCTGCAACAGAGGAGCCCGGGGTCAGTAACAATATTCAGCGCAGCCACTGGTGTCAATACGACGCCGACAGACAAACGCAGCGCCCGTAGGACGAACGCAGAGAAGGCAATTGAGAGGGAAAGGCAGGCACAGAACAGTGGCACGTTCTGCCATTTGGGACAATGCGGCAAGCAGGAAAGAAATGGTAGAATGGTGCAGCTTTTCCAAGTTCAATGAGCAGGTTCAGTGCGCGAGCAGTTTCACGCCATTCAGGATGGATGTGCGTCCCAGCTGATTATTTAAAACATTGACATTACGATTTTGTCACTCGAATGTGTAACTCGCTAAGTTGTTGCGATTCGTCCCGCCCCTACCGATTACCGGGAAGGGATTGCCAAAATGGAAACGGCGAACAAGTCGCTCAAAACATGACTCAATGCAAAATTGAACCAAGACAGAAAACAGAGTTTAGTTTAAACCGTTTTCGGGTACGGTTATACCGCAACTTCTCTGAGTGGAAGACGCACGCATCCTGATATTCACGCCCCAGCCCCAGCACGGATAAAGAAAAAATGCCAAAAGAGTAACGTTAAACGCTATGCTTGGAGCGCTGTAAAGAAAATCACTAATTTTGAGCATTTACCTCCATTTTGAACAAAAAAAAAAAAAAAACAAGAAACGAGCCGCAAGAAGTGAACCACAAGCTCCTTAGGTAAACAAAAACAAATGAGCTTAACTGCTTAGAACATGCCACCTCTTCACACACAAACGGACACCAACCCCACCCATCGCTCCCCTCACGTACCTGAATCTTCAGCTTGGAGACGGCTCCGCGGATGATGGCCGTGCGCGCCTTGCGCAGCTTCCACAGCTTGAAGCGCTCGAAGTCTGTGAGGCTCTCGGTGCGCTGTTTGGCGCGCAGGTTGCGGCACCAGCGGGTGGCCTCCCAGGTGGAGGAGATGTTACGCGACACCCACTGCTCGCGCACCATGGCCGTGCTGGCCGTGTGCGGGATGCGGATCCGCAGGTTGGTGATGTGCACGTTCTTCAGGTTGACCACCTGGCGGCGCACAGCCGTGCAGGGTCCGTCCACCAGAACCTGTACAACAGCAGAGCGGGAACACAGTCAACGATTTACCACCTCACGGCCAACAGCTGTACACTGCTTAGTGCCTGTCTACCAGAACATGTGACCCAGAGGGCACAGATAGTCAGTCACTGTATTGGACAATGGACACACTGCGACCAGGTAGACATCACATTAGACACATTCAGGAGGTGCAGCTTGATGAAACCCTCAAAACTGTAAATGTCAATTAGAAGAAATCTGCTGCCTAATGAAACTGTCACTGGATGGGCATAAATAATAAAACCTGAAAACTACAGTGGCTGGTGTCATTCATGAGTTAAATTATATGACTACTGTAACAGTAATATATTTAAGCTGTCAAAAATTTATACACGGTTTATGTTCATATTCAGGCATTCCATTCTGTCTTTTATGTGCTCTATCACTTTTTTAATACACCTCATTGTTATCAATTGATGATACCAAGCATGAATGCCTATGAGAGGCTCTGTAGTCACCAGTGTTCCGTTTTTCAGAATTTTGGGTGGAAAATCACACCTAATGGAGATATTTTCATCCCAAAAATCAGATAAAGTGACACTATGTCATCTTTGGAAAATGTTTCATGCATTCAAACAGCCAGTTTACATATCACTTGGCAATCGATGCGTCCACATACTTTTCTTTTAGATCCTGTCAAAACCCTGACATGAAATTCTGCTTCATCAAATGGCATAAAAGGGCGTTACGCCCTTCTGCGAGAATACCTACTATTGGTATTTACTTCTTTTTTTTTCTCATCCTAGGAATTTTCTTTCTTCATCGTCACACCCAACCAAAATCCAATTTTAGAACACTGGTAGTCACTTAAATTTTTACACACTTCTGACATCACATTATAAACTTCTTGTTTGGCAAATTCACTGGGGGTTTTCTTAAAAGTGTTAACTGCTCATGTTGCCATAACTTGGATCAGGTGTGAGGAAATTCAGACCACAATCTCAACACAACACCAAGTTGAAAAAATGCATATACCACAATCCTTCTTCACCCAGGTGAAGAAGCCAACCAATGATGTTGGTTGGCTTCACAACCAACCAATGATGAAGCCACCAATCATTGGTGGCTTCACAACCAATGATCTTAAAACATATCTCAAAATTGGGTAGGTATTGTGTACAATTACTCTGCTGACCATCAAGCTTTCCTTATTGATATAAATCAGAAGTGATGAATGCCCAGTCTGCAAAGTATGGCAATTTCGACGAGATCTCGTCGATGCGGGCTTGTTCGCCTGGTGTGGATTTGGTGCGGTGTAGATATGTCAATCAGATACCAACTTCTTGGTATACCGATAGGTACCAAATCAATACCAACTTGGTATTTGGTATTTCAATCCTAATATGTTTGTTATTTTGTTGGTATCATCATAGAGATCTTATATACATCTCTATATGTATATAAGTATCTGTATGTATCTGTATATAAGTATCTCTATATGTATCTGTATATAAGATCTCTATGGGTATCATGAACCTTCACTAATGTATAAGAGGCTAAGAAACAGCCAAAAAGTCGGCATTTCCCTCATTTTCCCAAGTTGGTTTGGTTTCGGTATTGCCCCACGGGTTTGGTTGACATTTGGTTTGGTACCTATCGGTATTCCGATTGTTCACTAACTGAAGCACTAGTGCGGTGCGATGCGGATTTAGCTTAGTGACAAAGATGACCGAGATCAGACGAGATAAGAAAAAAAACATGGCTGGAGCTTCGACATGACACGGTAGAGTGAGATAGATGAGCACGGCCGGACGATGGGAGGGCTAGGTCACCGCTCCGCCGCTTCAAGCAGTCAAATGCGAGCTTCAAGCAGTCAAAAGCGAATGATTTATCATGTATGTTTGATGCACCTAAAAGGTTTGGCTTGGCCGGCTTGTCACTCGGTGTTGGGCGAGATGCACATGGCTGATGGCAGGCCTTGAGGACCACCACTTTGCCGTGGCTTAATAGTTTAATCTGCTGTGAATGATTTTTTTTTTTGCTCCAGTTGTGTGGTGGGTACTTCTCTTTCAGTATCCATACCACTGAGAGAGCAGCCTTGTGGCTCATATCAATAACTGAGGTCAGTGCGGCTTTCAACTGGTCAAAACTGGTTTTGCCTGTCCCGTAGCTCAGTTGGTAGAGGTTGGTATAGCATTGGAATCCCAGTAGTGAGAGCCCCGGTTCGAGACACTCGGTCCGGCGCTTGATATTTGAGACTCCTGACGGGGATGGTCTGCGGTTGGTGGGAGCAGCCGCAGCCAGCTGAAGTCAATTGAGTGGGACAGGCCATGTCCAGCTTTGAATGGGACGTTAGGGGTCTACACGGTAGGGGTCGGGTCGGGGTCTACGCAACAAGCTCTGCTTAGCGTGGGCTCCAGCTCTGTCAATCCGTCCATTCAAACATTCGAGCTAAATTTATAATGAAAAAACTGGTCACTTTTCAGTTTGGTGCAGTTTTTTGCACTCAGCCGAATTTGGTGTGGTTTTCCCAGCTGTTTGAAACTTTGAAGGATTGGTATGGGTTTTAAACTTGGGCCAGTGCGCCTCATCGATCTGCAAGCCATACTTTGCAGTATGGGTGAATGCCAGTACACTCTCAACCAGACATAGGTATAATCAGGACACATACTTGGCAAACTTAATTGACATAACACACAAGGACCAATAAAAGCTAAAACTCACAATAATTAGCTGGAATGGAAATGACATAAAGACCAAGCACTAAGCAGCCACTCACAATTCTGTACTTCACATAAGCAAGAAATAATCCCTGTAAAGTCCCTGTTTCGTTGAAGACAGATTAAATCATACCCATCACAAGTAATCGTAAGATGTCAGCCTGCCATCAATTCAGCCATGTACGCAGAAGTGTGACACCTACTTTAGGACTAACAACACTTGACAACTACCAACCAACTTACCCTGTTCTGGTCGATGATGTTAACAACAGCACATATCTTGCCCTGAAGCGGGCCTGATGCCATGTAGACCACACGGCCCACTTGGATAAACTTGGTGAACCCCTGAAAAACAGCACAAACATCAGCACAAATTTAACACAAATCAATGCATCAACAAATTTGAATTTGAAAATTTGAGGCAGCTTGAGTTGAACCTAAGGTACCTAATGAGCAGGATTCTCACTGCTTTTTGGTAATTGTTGTACATAAAGCGAATCAAACTGAATAGAGCAACCATGAGACCATACCACATGAACATGAATGACTTGTAATAGGACAAAATAATGGAATTAGAACATAAATAGCCCTACCATGGTCACGAACGGGAAGAAGAGGATTCTGGACGGCGCTGCCTATTTTCAAAACATTGAAAATATACAAGGGAATGTAGCAGAGAGAAAGATGTCAGTCAGAAGACAAAACTGCAATATAAATTAAGAAACATATTTTTTCAGTTTTCACACAAATTTTAGATCAAAACATTGTCAAAATAATACAAAAAGTAAAGTAGAATTATTAAAGTAAATATCCTCAACTAGAAAAAGTACTAAAATATGGTGTATTTTACGTACGGCATCAATGGCGCAGCTAATTCGATTGCACTTCTCATTCCCAAACATTACCATACTGTCGATTCTAGCCTACCGTAACACAGATTTTAACCCTTATGTGCATTTGTAATTCGTGTAATTCGATGGTAGGTAGTGCAAGGGCTAGTGCTTGGGCTAGTGCTCTAAAATAAAAAAGAAAGCATTTTGACAGCTTTATGTCAATGCTCCCTCATCCTCTTTCCAATTCAGAATTCCCCTCTTTTCTTAAAGGAAAGGGACCGTGTATATCACACCACGGTGAGATTTACACAATACCGGCCATTTGTGTAAATCACACCCACCCCGGTGTGATATACACAAAATCTACTACGTAGTGTAAATCACACCCGGGTGAGGAATACACAGAGAGGGCAGCTGTGTGTATATCTCACCACGATGTGACGTCATAGCAACGCTGAACGTCCATTGGTCAGAGCAGTGACTCTGCTCGCCCATTGGTCAGATCAGACTAAGCACTACGAATATTCCGGCGGGATTCCGGGCGTCCTCTCTCTCGGAATCAGCCGACCGCCTGGCCTAGTGGTGAAGGTGCTTGCACCATGATACGAATGTTGCGGGTTCGAGTCCCGTCGGTGCGGGCGCTTTTTCCCGCATTTTCGCTTTTCCTTGGTAGCGGTGGGTTCGCTGCCGACCGACAAGTTTAAAAGCACCAATACAATATGGAAAGCGACGTCTGAATGCTTGTGGCGAAGTGGTGCAGTGCCGAAGGCAATGCCTTAGGAGAGATTACAGGCAATGGTAAGTCAAATATTTTTAGGTTAAGTGGTTGTGTATCTGGCTTCAGGCCGAAGGCCTGAAGCCTGATGCACAACCACTTAACCTAAAAATATTTGACTTACCATTGCTTGCAATCTCTTCATGCGAGTACCTTCTTCCTCATCCACGGGTAGGCAAAAATCAGTAGGTCAGGTTAGGTTAGGTTAGGTTAGGTTAGGTTAGGTTAGGTTAGGTTAGGTTAGGTTAGGTTAGGTTAGGTTAGGTTAGGTTAGGTTAGGTTAGGTCAGGTCAGGTCAGGTCAGGTCAGGTCTAAGGTTTGGTTAAGTGTCTTGTTACCGTGCCTACTGTGTAAATCTCACCCAGGTGCTGCGTGGTTTGACACCCAGGTGTGATTTACCCACTACCGAGCACACAGTGTATATCACACCCTGGTGAGATTTACACATTGGCTAGGCCTACTGTGTAAATCACACCCAGGTGCTGCGTGGTTTGACACCCAGGTGTGATTTACACACTAGGAGCACATTGTGTATATCACACCACGGTGTGATTTACGCATTTGCCGGGCCTACTGTGTAAATCACACCCAGGTGCTGCGTGGTCTGACACCCGGGTGTGATTTACACACTAGGAGCACATTGTGTATATCACACCCCGGTGTGATTTACGCATTGCCGGCCCACTGTGTAAATCACACTCCGCGTGGTGTGATATACACAGGAGTAGTGTATTGTGTAAATCACACCCGGGTGAGGTTTACACTACAGTGCGATGCATTATGTAAATCTCACCGTGGTGTGATATACACGCGTCCTAAAGGAAATAGTTCACTTTTAACATGGGGTTTTGAGCTGGAATAGCAGTTTCGTAGCTTGAGCTGAGACTAGCACAAATCAGGAGCTTTTACGGCTCAACGATCACCATAGACGAAGATATTCCATTTCTCGTTCCGAAAAGAGTGCCTTGTAGAGGAATGCGTGCCTTGCACAGGAATGTAGCCACGTCATCGTCAGCCAATCAGCGTGCTGCTTACAGCCAATGCAGTATGCGTAGGTTTGAGCTACGCAATATGATTGGTCAATGCGTAATAAGCTTCCGCGTCAAAAATTATTTTACACAGAATATAGTTCGTCCTATATTAAAATATAGAAAATAATTGTTTTTACAAAAAGGTTTTATTTTATTTCATGATTATTTTGAGCATAAAAAATCATAAATCAATAGCAAAATACTGATTTCAGGAAAGTGGACTGTTTCCTTTAATGTACTTACCAGTTCAAACATCAATTTTAGGACAAAGGGTGAATAATGAGGCTGGTTTTGGTGAGGTTGTGTTATTCAGTCTGTTAGCAGGGTGCTGCTTACTAGCTTTTTTAATTATAATGGGTAAAATGAATGTGGCCTGAGTGGTTTGCCAATCAGAGTTAAACCAAGAACAAGAAAGACCATTGAGGCAATGATAGACCAAAATTTGCTAGTAAGAGTAGTAAAGAACTTCCAAATTACAAACATCACAGGTACATCAACATGGAAAAGCTGACAGCATGCTGATAAAATCTGATGCATTCAGATCAGCACTGAGGAGGTTAGACAGGATCAGGCCTATTTCATTGACCTATGTCTCTTGCACACTCACTGGACTGAGCCGTTAAACTTTGAAGCTACAGCAACTCCGGAGAGGTGCTGAAAGAATTACACTCTGACCCTGTGGATTGGTGCTGTAATGGTAGCTGACTTTTCCATTCCCAGCTTCCACCCATGCCCTTATTGGAGTGTTCTGTGCCCACTGCCCTGTTTTTGTAACTGAAGACAATTTTACAGAATGGCAATTTGGTTATTTTGCTTCATGCTATAAACCCAGTTTAATTGTTATTTAGAAAAATCAAGATGGCATTGTTGCAGGTAAGTGTCTATGAAACATTACAGGTATTTTGAAATGCTGCCTTTTCATAATTCACTTTTTAGATGAAGTCACAGTTTTGGATAATAAAAGATGCTCAATATTTTTTCTGAATATGGGCTGAAATACTAAATAGTTGCAATAATTAGTGCATATGAATATACACAGGAACCTAATAAGATCATGTGTGCTGGTCAGATTTGTGTGCTCTGTGATTTGTTTGTTTTTATCTATTTATTTATTTATTTATTTACTTATTTATTTATTCATTCATTTATGTTGTTACTTGCTTGCGAAATGTTGGGCTATTTAGGTATGTGCACTGCAGTTATATATTTGCTTGTTTTGTTTCCAGTGGAGGAAATTCAACTTTTTTGAAGTCACCAAGGATGTGGACAAAGGCGCTCTTAATGAAGCTCTACAAGTACGTACTAATCATAACCTGCTGCCAGGGCTGCGGAGTCGATGGATTTTCGGCGACTCCGACTCCGACTCCGACTCCGGCTTTCAAAAACCAGCTCCGACTCCGACTCCGACTCCGGGCAGAATTGTCGACTCCGACCGACTCCAACTCCCGACTCCGACTCCGCAGACCTAGCAGAACTGCGGAGTCGACAGATTTTCGGTGACTCCGACTCCGACTCCGGCTCTGGTTTCTAAAATCGACTCCGACTCCGACTCCGGTCACAACTGTCGACTCCGACCGACTCCGACTCCGACTCCGCAGCCCTGCCTGCTGCACCCACTTTTGGACCTCAGCCAACCTCGCCATGGGGGCGGAGCTGGGGTAGGGGTGGGGTGTTTTTTACCACATTTGATTGCCAATAAAGTAAGAGATGGAAAAACACAGAAAAAGCAATAAATATCTCTAAATGAATGCATAATTTAAAAATTATACCTACTGGTCATTTTTATCAGGTCAGTACTGAATATGTCACTGAACTCTGAAGGTCATGTAAGATCATGTTTTTGCATTTTTCGGGTCACCACAGGCAACAAAGACAAATGTTCCCAACCCTGACGTTCTTAGACGAATTGACTCATATCTCGTGAACTAACAGAGCTTCAGCATTGCAGAAATCGCATTCTTTGCCTTATTAACCCTCGCCGGCACAGGCCATTTTGCATCCTTCGACGGCACAAGGGGGGGGGGGTTGGTACGACCCCCCCTCGCGTTTGGCCCCTGATCGAGTTAGAGCTTCGCGGAAAAAACGAGCGTGTTGCCCGTCACGAGACGAAGCCGATGATATCCAATTTTAAGGTCCTAGGTCATCGGGTGACCTTCCAGGTCAGGTCAATGACCCGAAAACCGGGAAAATCGGGACCTGTTAGAAAGTCGTAAAGTGTGGCTGTTATGTGGTTTTCCGGGGTGCTGATCACGAATATCGTGTTAGTTTTGATCAGACATGATGTCTTGAAGCATTTAGACCAGGTTGGGTCAGGTCAGGTCAGGTCAACCGGTAGGGGTTGTGACGGGTATTCGTAATACGTGTCAACCGCCTCTGACAGCTTCGTAACATGTTACGAAGGCACCAAAACTACTTCGTAAATGTTCAAATGGTTGCTAAATTCGAATTCAGCTCCAAAAACTAGCCTAGAAACATGTAAAACTCGAAAAAGTGAACCGAGGTCACCCGAGGTCACCAAAGGTCAATGACCTGACCTGACCTCCAGGTGACCTTGACACCCACCCTAATGTATGGAAGCAACATCAAATCACATGTTTGAACGTTTGAAACCACGAAAAGCTTGCAAACGCGCGGCTAATGCGAGCCGACATACGCCGAATCGCGATTCCGACCAAACATGGTCTCGGAAAAGAGGTCACAGGTCAAAGGTCATTTGGGTCAGGGTCATGAAATTTTCAGGGAAGGTGTAAAATTGATCAATGCGAGGGTACTGAAAGTTTCGTCGCGATCGGCCGCGTTTTACGCGAGTTATTCGCGAAAAACCTTAGGGGGGGTTGCATCAACCCCCCCCCCCTGTGCCGGCGAGGGTTAAAGCTCTTTTCAAATGTGCCCTCATATTTGACAGTTTCATCTCATTTCAATCATCTGACCTCCAGAGGGCAACAATAATGAAACTGGCATTTGTGCGGATGATGTTTTTATGCAATAACGTGACAAAGCTTACATGATATTGAATAGATTTTGACATGCTTCATGAACCGTGATTCTCTCGTGGATTTATTCTCTCGTGATTCTCCGAATGTTTTACAACTTAGCCTTGAAAGGTGAACCTTGGGAAGGCACGCCGTTTGACTCCCCGCCCCTCGCGTCCAGTCGGCGGATGTGGTGTGCACGGGCAGCGGCCGCGGCTGTCTGGTGCTGGGGGACAGCCGCGGCCTGGTTCACTTTGTCAGTCGACAACTGGAGGTGCTCTCCCACCGACTGTTTGAAGCTCGCGTGTCGCAGCTGGCGCAGCTCAAGTTCAGCCCTGTTCTGGCTGCTGCTGGGGTGAGTAGACACAGATGAGATTAGTGAAATTTCGTGGCCCAGGCGGTAAACGACATTGAAGAGCATAAATGTGTCATTGTATCAGTTTTCAGACCAAGTGCCGACATAACTTACGTGAAGGACGTGTTTATCTAGCGGATGTAGGTATTCGTGATCGGGAGAGATACGTTTGTCCACACAGCTGATTCGCTATCGTTTATGAAGCAGTTTGAGGGGTTGCGGTAAACGAGTATCCTTTTCTCTTTGCCTTTAACCCACTTCTTAATGCCGACAAAATATAACCAAGGCACCATAAAAATGTGACTGTTTTCCTCTTTCATTATTATCGTACCAGGAGGACGAGATCGGAGTGTCTTCGATCAAAGTGTTCGGCCTGGAGCAGCTAGATGGTGGCGGCGCGCCGCGCCTGCTGCGACAACTAAAGCTTCCTCCAGCCGCCGCCGACGGCGGCACCGCCGTCACCTGTTTGTCTGTGCACGAGAATCTATTCATGGCGGCCGGCTTTGCTGACGGAAGGGTCATCTTGTGGAGAGGTGAGTGCTATGTGTTCTAGTTCGTGCTAGTCTCGTGCGCCTTTTCGCTATGTCTTGTTTTGTGGTTGTGAGGTTGATCTTACCTTATTACAAAAAACATTTCGATGCTGTTTATGTGTGTGGCCGTTTGACGACCCCAAGCTACGTGTCTCATATGATGACTCAACAATAATCATACGCTGTTAGCCCTAACCGACTGACCTGGTCCTCCCAGGTGACCTGACCCGGGAGCGGGCCGGCAAGCCCCAGGTTCTTCACTCGGGCTCGGCTCCCGTCACCGGACTCGGCTTCAGAAGCACCGGCAAGACGAGTCACTTGTTCGTGGCCACCGCCCAGGAGGTGTGCTGCTACAACGTCACGTTCAAGGACAAGGAGAACCAGGTGGGTCCTGGGCGGTCAACGTGCTCATTGTCCGTGGCCGTTGGAGACTGCAGGCTCATGATTGCCGATATTTACATTAGTTGTGATGTAAGAACAATTACGGTTGTGATGATCGCGTGTCTTATATTGAAATGCAACTCCATATGATTCAATTTTGTGTAAAAAGTGAGTATCACGAATTTTCAGTTATCCTCATCGATGGCAACATCAATTGCTACAATTGTTATCACTCAACTCATTGTACGGACAATCGCCTAGCAGTGCCCGTGCCCAGCACTGTGTGTCTGGTCCACCCCGCCCCTATGACGCTGACCCCTCCCCTCCGGGCCTGTCCCCCAGATCCGTCTGGACGAGACTGGGTGCGCTCCGCACTGTGCTGTGATGTCTGAGGGCACCTCTGAACCGCAGTTCACAGTGGGAAAACCAGACGCCATATACTGCTACAGCCCCAACGAGCGTGGCGCGTGTTTTGTGTTTGAGGGAGAGAAGCGGCTGCTGCACTGGTTCAAGGGCTATCTGGTGGTACTCGGGGCTGAGAAGGTCACGGCAGCGGGCGGAGGAGCGTGAGTAGGGAAGGGGTGTGTTTTGGGAGAAAGGATGTGGTTTAGGAGCTTGTGTGAGAGGATGGGGAGCCTTGATATGGGGAGAGAAGGGAAGATGGTTGAGATTTGCGGCTGGGACTACACCAAGGCAACTTCTGCTTCACTTTCAAGAGATGGGGCAATACAGCTGGCTAAAGATTTATTTACGCTACAATTAATTGCACTACAATTAATTGCAGATTATGCACACTTGTGATTCTTGCGTTTCGCATTATTGTTTGCAAAGATGTTATCGAACCATTGGTGACTCATTTGTAAGACCAGCATCCTAGATCATCAACGATCATCACACCACTGCACAGTGGCCCTTTTTCAGAATTAGCACGCATTAATTCCCACATTACCTGAAAGTGGTGCAAGACATCACCACGTGATCAAGGAAGTATTCCCTCCAATGCAAAGAGAAGAAAAGAAACGTACTGCCCAAGGAGATTCGGCCCAACAGCGACAGGCCGCTCGGCCCAAGATTTGGCGCACGTTCGCACGGCTCGCCCGCCGGCCCAGGCCGCTCCGAACGCGAGTGTGGCGAGCCCGCCAGCCGACCGCGCTGCACTTGCACTGACCGCCAGGACGACCCAGGGCGTCACGTGACCGCATCTACAGCTGTTGCCAGCCACCGTTAGTCGGCCCCGGCCGGGCAGCAACTAAGGTCAGCGCGACGCGAACAATACAAACACATAGGCGCTTTTGACGTTAGATCTTAAGCCGATCACGGGACTTGTGCGGCTTGGACATCAAACGCGACAAGAAATCGGACAGTTTTTCTTGGGCACAACGTTATGCCTACATGACATTTCAATTAGCACATCTTATGGCAAAAGTCAAGCCACATTTAGGCGCACACCAGGTGACACCAGCTTCGAGCCAGGTCAATGAGCTTAGTCGTATCGAACAGGAGCCACAGCCGCTCGCGGACTGAACTGGCTCACGTTATCCACCGTAGAAGCAAAATGGCGCAAAATGGCGCGATGCCCTTTGGTGGACATGGTCAGAAGAGATCGGCGATTCGAACGATGTATAATACGACATGTTCCAGAGTGTGCTACTTAACATAAAGCTTCATATGTATGCCGTCATCTCCAGTTAATAATTTGTCCTGTTATTGTGTCCACAATATTCGGCAAAAGTGGTCTATTTAAGTTTATACAATGAAAATAGTGGTTTCTAGGGCTTTTACGTAAACTCAGCTTCACAGCCATGCCACTAATTTTTAATATTTTCTCATCGAAAGTCTTGCAAATTGATGTTCATCTCACCCTACTTTTTGGGGTCCGCCGGTGGTGTCCGCGCGCCTTTCGACAAACTTCGATTTTGTGGTCAGTTTTACCAAAGGTAATTATTTTTTAGGAGATAAAAATGGCACCATCGGATAGTTTGGAATGTTTTGCACACGATAAGACTGCTTTTTACTCAAAAGAAGAGAAAAAATATTTTGAATTTATGCGTGCTAATTCTGAAAAAGGGCCACTGTGCACTGTCGCTGTCACAAGCCACACGCAGTCACGAAGAATTATCTCTACCTTCCCCTCACCTCTCACCCTCCTCCCTCAGAGAGGCTACCTCGACCGAGCGGCACGTTCTGACCGTGTACGACGTGGCCAACAAGTACGTGGCGCTGCACGTGCCGCTGCGGGACGTACAGCACGTAGTCAGCGACTGGGGCCAGCTGTTTGTGGTGACCTCTCAGAGGAAGCTGCACGCGCTGCGCGAGCTGGACACACAGGCCAAGCTGCAGGTGCTCTTCAAGAAGAACCTCTACGACATGGCTATCAAGTAGGTGGACGCTGGAGTCTGGACAGTGGACGGGCACTGGGTGGGCGCACGTGAAGCTCAGAATCGGGATGGGTGAATGTGGGACGGGTATACTTTGAATCTGGGGGGGGGGGGGGTCTTTTTGTTACATGTGACTCAGTTCATTGGGTTATGGTGATGACATATAGGAAATTAATGTGAGTTACACTCAACTAAAATATCCCGCATTAAAAGACGGAATCAGGGAGTGTCCACTGTCCAGCCAAAACTCACATAATAAAAAATTAATAGCCACTTGTACAGAGTCACGTACACCACAGATTCCGTTGTCACCTCTCATCACATGACTCACCCGGCCCACAGACTGGCTCAGTCTCAGCAGTACGACGCTGACGGACTGATGAACATATTCAAAGAGTACGGCGACTACCTGCACGGAAAAGGAGACTATAGCGGGGCTGTGCAGCAGTACATCAAAACCATAGGCAAACTGATACCGTCCTATGTCATCAGGAAGGTGGGCAACATTCGCGCTCCTAAGTTAATGTTTATTTTCTGCCGCTTACGATATGACAGCGCCCCCTTTGGCCATTTCTTTCTTTTTCTTACATGGGCGGTTTTCTTCCTACTGTCCCGTCTCACTTGTCTCATCCATCTCGTTCAGCTAACCCGTTTCATCTACCTCACCCGGTTCGCACAATTCGCCCACCTCATACATATATTCCGTGTGCTCCGTCTCACTCAATGTCTTACTCATCTGACCCTGACCCGTCTCTGGCCTCCAGTACCTGGACACTCAGCGTATCAGCGACCTGACTGTGTATCTGGAGGCACTGCACCACGGCGGTCACGGCAGTGCCGACCACACCACGCTGCTCATCAACTGCTACACCAAGCTGAGGCTCACCGAGCAGCTCGACCAGTTCATACAGGTACGAGCCGGTATACAGGGTGTCCGGAAAGTCCTGGCGCTTCTTTTGGACGCCGTGTAACGCGCGCTGTGATTATTGGACATTCAGCCAATCATCACAGACATGACCCCTCGTTGATTGCTCAGCCAGAGGTCGTGTAAATATGACCTTGAAATCGTTTTCAGTGATGGGTAGATGGGCGAAGATGCGCCTTGTCGCTGAATGCCTGCGCGCGGCGGCCGGGTGCGACTTGAACGAGGCTCGAGCTGCAGCGCGATGCGGCGTTTTTCGATGAATGGTTTAGCAGGTAAAGGTTTATTTCGACTCGGGAATTCCTTAGAAAATATCCTCAGACCGTTTCGAACGCGATATGGGAACGGAGCAGCATTTCAGCGCGGCAATCGAAGAAAGTGCGGGGGTCTGATGGACAAAAATGTCCCATCATCTTCGTCAATGTCGAATAAATGAATAACAGGCTGGCCCACGAGGGGTTCCTGGACAGCCACATCAACCCGAGGGTCAAGACGACATGCCCTAAGGGTCACTTCGCATTTCAACAGCACAGAGCACCCTCCAACAACGCCGCTGCCATTCAAGCTAAACTGACAGAGGAGCTTGCCGGGCCAGATCACCGTGGCGAAATGAGATCAGGCCGCCTTATTCTCCTAACCTGACCCGCTCGACTAAGGCGTGCTACGCGTTTTGTAGAACAGGATCTAGGCCATTTCTCACCCCAACCTGGAGTCGCTGAAGACTAGCATCATGACAGCATGGGAGGACCTGGAAATGCCCCGCATCGTCAAAACCCGCAGACGCTTCCTCCCCTACGTCGAGGCCGTCGTCGGCGCCGACGATGGTTACATTGAATGAGTACGTAGCGGAAGCATGTGGCTTGGTGTCCCTGGTCATTGTTTTGATCCATTGATTAGTATCTATGAACCAATGGCATTTGTTTTAGAAAATGTTGAAAAGCGCCAGAACTATCCGGACACCCTGTATACAGCTGGTAGTAGCCGTTGGTCGCTGGCACACTGATCACTGGATCAATATGGTATTGATTGTTTTAATGATGATGTGTATAGCTGAATGCGCTCTCTTTTGACCGCTGACTGCTCCGTTCTCACTGCTCTCCCGGTTATTACCAGGGATCGGTTATACTTGCAATTTGACCGCTCCTTTCTGACCGCCCTGTTCCTTCACCTCTTAATATTCTGACTAATCCATTCTGACCAATTTTATCGACCACTCCACTCTGACCCTCCCGCTTCCCATTATGTCCGGTAGGGCGAGGGCGACGCGGTGGAGTACGACGTCGCCACGGCGGTGCGCGTCTGCCGCAGCTCGGGATATCACGAGCAGGCGCTGCTGATCGCCGACAGACACCGACAGGTGGACGTGGTGGTCTCCATACTGACAGAGGACCTCGGGGACCCCGGCCGGGCGCTGCAGTACATCAGCAAACTGCCGCATGAACAGGTGAGGGCCCTGAGGGGTGAGGGGTAACCTGGAGGTAATGTTGTAAGATGGGCAATTAACCCGCGCCCTGCTGGGGGTCCTGGATTTCCACGCCCTGCTGGGGGGGGGGTGTTTGAACACCCCCCCCCCTTGTAACTCGGCTCCTGGGCCACGTAGCGATACGCGGAAGGCGGCGTTCGAAAGAGCGTAAAAATAATGACGAAATCACTTCGGTCAATTTTTTGGTCAGGTCAAAGGTCAGGTCACCAGAGGTCATTGAAGGCAAAATTTCGCCGATTTCCAGGTCGAATGTCGAAAATTTCCAAGAAGCCAACGCATAACTCGGGAACCAATAGAGCTACAGCGCCGCGGAAAAGCGCATTCGATAGCCCTGTTAACGCCCTTTCTGAGTAATTCTCTCAGATTTGACCTAACGTCAACGGTTTTGCCTGCAGGGGGCAAAAACTGCAAAAATAGCCGATTTTTTGGAAAACAGTTTTTCTGCAATAACTTTTGACCCAAGCCTTGTACGAGCTTACTTTTACCGGCATCGTGTTCCTCTCGTCAAGACGCATCGAATGAACTATAATTTGACCTTGAAAGGTCAACTTGAAAATTTGACCTCAGGTCAAGGTCATGACCTGACCGGAAAGGGCCATGTTGCATATCAGTCGATCCGTATCGTCGAGCTGAACATATCTAAGGCGTTTTCATCGCTCTAGCATGCCTCTATCAAAAGTTATTTGCGAAAAACTGTTAGATACCATTCGTGACCTAAGATGACCTCAGGGCATAAACAAGGGTCACGGACACCATTTTCAAGTTCAGTGTGTCTAAACCACTTGTAATTCGGTGTTTGGGAGTGTTTATAATGTCTTTCATCCAAAAGAGGCGCATTTCAATTTTCTCCCATTGACTTATAATGGGGAGGTCGCAAAATTGACCTGACCTTAGGTCATCGATATCAAAATTCTGAGATATACATGTTGTACATGCTATTACTCTTAGCAATCGCTGAAAGTTTCAAAGCGATCGGTCACTCGGTGTAGCTATGACAGACATTGAAAGTTTTTATGAGGTGAGGTCACTTCAAGTGACCTGGTGACCTGACCTTGAATGACCTTAGTCTGAAATTTTCACAACATGTGTAGAATTGATGTATGATAAGGTGTACCAAAAACGGCGGCGCTCCGCGCCGCCGTTTTTGAGATATTTGCGAAAAACCACAAGGGGGGGGGGTGTTCAAACACCCCCCCCCAGCAGGGCGCGGGTTAACCCGCGAGTTGCTGGGGGGGGGGGGCGTTAAACGCCCCCACTTTTTTCACCGGGCCATAGCATAAAAACGGCGCGCCGCAGGCGCGCCAAATTTTGGGTACCTGTAGGGAATTGATTGAAGTTTATTGTGACAAAGTTTCAAAAAATCGGTCGGAAAATTTTTGAGATATCGAGGTTTTAGTGACGTCATGATTTTTGAATTTTCGACCAAAAACGGCGTATGTTCAAAAAAGTCATATAAAATCACAGAATAGACATACAGACATGCCGTAAACGCCATTAGACTGCCAATACCATGAACAATCAAATGGCTATCTTCGATTATTGATTACACTGATCAACAGCCAAAAATGTACAGAGAGGTGAGCATTCGTTTCTACCTAATTCGAGGCCGCTGATTCCAAATCTGGTCACCGTTTTGCCTCATCGGGCTCAGTTTTTTGTCTGGCACATACTGATGCCTTAAATTCTCACTTTTTATGCATTGTTGTTGGCCTATTGTAGATATCCTTAGATCTAGATATATATCTTTTTAATCCATATTTACCACAGCCAGGCAACACAGATTAGCAGCTTTTGTAATTTAGCCGCACAGGTTTTGTTATGGACCTCCTCAAAGTGGCTGGCGTAAACTCTCCACATATATAGCAAAATCGGTCGGGGTCGTTCAGGCACTTGCGGCGCTCCATCAAGCGGCTGTTTCAAAGAATCGGTTTCTGCGAGGCTGAAAGAGAAAGTTACACTTAACTGACGGCAGTAAAAGAACATTTCAAATATCAAGATAATTCATAATCATATGCATTCTCAGTGTCGTGTCGACGGTGACGTGCGGACGGCTCACCGGGTCTCCATATTTGTGTTTAAAGGGTGATGTAAATCTGCCGTGTCTTACCCCAAGTGTGCTGTATAGCATCGATTAACATTCAAGAAATTAACAGCCATAAGATATCACCAATATCTTGATTGTCGAAAGTAAATTGGATCACTAGCCATGTAATATATAGACAGAATAATATTCTGTTCGCTGCTACCCTCGGTAGCTCGGCTCTCGCACGCGGACCCGCACACGCCAGCGTCAGGCTTCCGACTGTATTAACAAACCGGGCGGGCGGCACTCAGCATATGGCAGCATCATGTGGCAACACTTTGCCTTCATAATGGAACACCTCCCCCCGGGTTAACAAACCTATTTGCAACAAGCCATGATACAATAAATAAACATCTCCTCCTGGGATATCTGACTGACACGCGCAAATCCACTAAATATCTACGAGCATCTTCGCGCGTATCTAATACAGTCCAAACTAGATCACTCATAGCTTGTGCACGGTCCCCACCGTACCTGTAACCTGACCGGCTCGCGACGGTTACGACCACTGCGACGAATCGGCGGATCAGCTCTCGGCGACCGACGCGCGGTCTCCGTCACCGTCACCGCGCTGTCTCCGTCACCGTCACCCCACTCCGGCGCTCGGCGAGTATCAGCAGCCGGCGTTCTTGGTGGCTGTCGATGTGGCTGTCGACGTGGCGGCTGTCGTGACGTCATAGCCGATGACGTTGACTGCTCTGCTTCTGTCGCGGCCGTCGGCGTCCCAGCGGCCGCTCCTGCCAGAGCCGCGGTGGGATCCTGTGCTGGAACCTCCAGCGCCGCGCGCGCCGGCCCGCCGCTGGCGGTGACGAGCGGGCGCAGCGGGCGCAGGAAACGTCTGTTGCGCCAGTATATGCGCCCGGATGGCGTGCGCACCAGGAAACTGCGTCGCTCCTTGCTGATGCCACTGATGATGCCTGTGCAGTCCCACAGGCCCGTGCGGTGATCTTGCATCAGCACATGCTGTCCCAGCTGTAGAGGGCAATGCGAGCGCGCAGATGAGTTGTAGCGCTCCGCCTCCTTGCGTCTCTGTTCCGTGACTTGTCTGTCGACCTCATCGGCACGTTCCAGCCAGCATTTGGCGAACGAACGCTGATGAGCCGGAATCCTCGATCTCAGCGGGTGACCGAGGAGAATCTGAGCCGGCGATCTCCCGTCCGCTCTTGGAGCGTTCCGCAGCTCCAGTAGTCCCTCGGCGAAGGCGTCTGTGTCGAGATCGCCTCCGACAGTCACCTTCTTGACCAGCCGTTTGACAGCTTTTACTGCCGCCTCCGCATGTCCGTTGGCCTGTGGATAGTGAGGTGACGAGAACTGCTGACGAACACCCCACTTGTCCAGGAATTCCCGGGTCTTCTTCGCCGCGAACTGAGGTCCACCGTCAGTGAGTAGTAGGCACGGAACTCCGGTAGACGCGAAGGCCTTGCGCAGACTGGTAGTCAGTTGATGGGCTGACGCCGATCTTCCCATGTGGCACACCCACGGCCACCCGGAGAGTCTGTCTACATACACCAGGTATGTGTGTGCTGCGTACTCGAAGAAATCGGCTGACACGACTTCAAAGACTCTAGTCGGTTGATGTAGCTGTATAATCGGTTCTTTCTGCTGTCTGGGCAGATGTAGCTGGCACTCCTTGCAGCTCTTCACCATGTTCGAGATGTCGTTGTCGATACCTGGCCAGTACACCACTTGTCTGGCTCGTCTTTTGGTCCTGTCTTCTCCTTGATGACTAGCATGCAGTCTCTCTAGAACGTTACGGCGGAGGCTGCTGGGTACGACAACTCGCTGCCCACAAATGACGATATTGTTGTCCACTGCTAGCCGATCGCGCATGTTCCAGTAGGGATGAAGAAGTGGCTGCAACTGCGACTTGTGCTCAGGGAAGCCGTCCAGCACAGCTGCCCTCAGCTCCAGCAACTCCGGATCCCGCTCCGTAGCTGACCGCACCGCTGTCAATGTCGCATCTTCGAACGGTGAGACGTCCGTCCCGTCCACTTCGACACTGGTTATCGCGCGGATGACCTCAGAGCTGTGTGAAGTCAGCTCACGTTCCTCCTTCTTGTCGTCCTCAGAAGGCGCCTCTACAGGGTACCTTGACAGAGCGTCTGGTATAGCGTGAAGCTTCCCCTGGCGCCAGACTGCCACGAAGTTGTAGGGCGCAAGACTTGCTCGAAGTCGCTGAAGACGTGGGTTGGCGATGTCCTGCAGACTCTTCGTGTTGAGAATCGGTATGAGGGGCCTGTGATCTGTGGCAACCTCGAACTGTTGCATGCCTTGCAAGTAGGTGTTGTACTTCCTGGCAGCCCACAGGATGGCCAGCATCTCGACCTCGATGACAGCGTATCGGGTTTCAGTGTCTGTCAAAAACCTGGATCCGCACTGAATCAGATGCCACCTTCCATCCTCGTCTTGCTGCCGCAGACTGAAGCCCAATCCCTTCAGCCGCGCCGCATCTGTCTCCAGGACCGTCCTCCTCTTCGGGTCGAAGAAGCTCAGGACTGGTGGCCTGACCAGTGCTTCCTTCACGTCGTGGAATGCCTTCATGTGCACTTCTGTCCACAGCCATGTGTTCTTGGGACTCAGAAGCTGGCGCAGCGGTTCAGCAGCTTTGGCTACCTCTGGTGAAAAGGAGCCCATCTGATGCACCAGACCTAGAAAGGACCTTAGGTCTGTGACGTTCTCCGGCCGTGGGAAGTCAGAGACGGCTGCCGTCTTCTTCCTGTCTGGTCTGTACCCCTCAGCGGAGATACTGAAGCCGCAGAAGTTCACCGACTCCGCTGCGAAGGTGCACTTGCTCGTGTTCAGCGTTATCCCGTTCTCATCGCACCGCTTCAGGATATCCCACACATGCTTGAGATGCTCTTCATAACTGGCGTCCCAG